CTGATAAAATAAATCAGAACTAACCAGTCTGGGAAGCATCAAGTTTCAGATCACAGTTAAAATGTCACCGATAAGCAAGTTGGGGAGGGGTCACTGAGCACGCTCAGCCTTACTTCAGAGGTAGGCAAGAGGTTGTCACGCATACAGAGACCATAGACGATCGATCGATACCAGTTTTCAGCAGATACCGGAATACCTAGAACGCTACACACACTTGGGGTCCGGTGGGCTGTAGATAAAATCGATAATGTCTATCTAGACATAGCTAACTACGCGTCGCTCAGAGGCGGGTCATACCTAGACTTGCCCCCTACTATAGGAAAAACAGGCCATGGTAAACGCCAAGAATAGAGGAGACGATTGCCTGAGGGTAGCTATCAGGTCAGCCTTGTTTCCAGCTGACACTCATTCAGACAGGCTTTCTAGCTATCCCCAAGATGATGGGCCTAACTGGGATGGTATAGATGAACCAACCCCCATATCCCAGATCACTAAAGTAGAAAACAGAATAATCTAGCTATAAATGTCTTTGGGCAAAGGTAACACAACAATAGTACACAGGGTCAGCCCATCGCTGGGGAAACCCCCACCAAGTTATCAATATATTCATGATCCAACGAGGTGAAAAGTATCACTACACGCGGATAAAACATCTCAGCCGGTTGTTGCACGACCAGTCTAAACACGCTGGGAAAAACACTTTGTGTGCGATGCCTACACGGGTTTCAGCCGAGCTGATTTATTAGAATCCCACCGGAGGATTGCCAAGGTGTGGGGCAGACGGCCATATCGGCTTATTACGCCCAAGGAAGGTGACAATATCCTAAAATTCGACAACCACAAGAACCAAATGTCTGTGCCTTATATCATATACCGACTTTGAAGCCTTGGTCAAACCTATTAAGGTTGTTAGATACCCCAACCACACTCAAAACACAGGAGCATGAAGCCTGTGGGTTTGGATACGTGGTCGTCCGCTGTGATGGGGAAACGAAAAGCCCGGTAGTGTACAGGGTCCCGACGCTGAAAGGTTTCTAAAGTGTTTGCAGGAGGAAGAAAAATTATTAGGAATGCACTGTATAGAGTCGCCCCATGCGATGACCCGAGCCGAATCGACTAGCTCACGCCTGTAGCACTAATTGTCACGCAGCGACTTCACCACTGAATGGTGATTCCGTGAGAGATCACTGTCACGCAACCGTAAGTATAGAGGCGCCACTCACAGCTGCGGTAACCTCAAGCTTAGAATCAACCCTAAGATAATAAACATCCCCGCTTGTCTTCACAACTTGAGAGGGTACGACTTTCATTTGATCATGCAGGCCATCGCGAAAATCGATGGTAATATAACGCATACCCAACAACATGGAGAGATACATCTCCTTCAGCTTAAACGGCCTTAGGTTTATAGATTCAGTACAATTTCTATTGTCTTCATTAGACAGTCTGGTTAAGGCCAACGATACCTTCCCTATCACTGACCGATACACAGACGCCGAGACTAGACCCCTGCTTATGAGGAAGGGTGTGTACCCCTATGAGTACATGGATAGTTGGTCCAAGTTCGCCGAGACCAGACTACCTCCCATCAGAGAATTTTACAGCAATCTGACCGACTCGAAATATCCCAAGACGATTACCGCACGCCGATTAACGTATGGAATGAACTGGGTTGTAAGAACCTGGGGATTATCACTCTACCTGTACTTGAGGACAGATGTACTGCTGTTAGCCGACGGTTTGAGACGCTTAGGCGACATGTTTCAAGCAGTATAAACTCGACCCCGCATGGTGGTATTACACCAGCCCAGGTCTGTCGTGGGATGCCTTGCTTAAAAAGACCGGAGTTAAGTTGGAATTGCTTACAGATTATGACATGCACCTATTCATTGAGAAAGGTTTGCAGGTGGGATCTCCATGGCAACCAAACGATACGCCAAAGCAAATAATCAATACGCGAAGGGTTACGACCCTAGCAAGCCAACCAATCACATTCTTCTACCTCGACGCCAACAACCTGTACGGCTGGGCTATGAGTCAGTATCTACCCACAGGGGATTCGAATGGGTGCCACAGGAGGTCGATGTTATGAGCATCGCACCAGATTCAAACAAAGGTTATATCCTCGAGGTTGACTTAGAATACCCTGCTGCATTACACACATCACACAACAGCTACCCCTGGCCCCGAACGATGAGGGTTAACCCAGACTGGATGTCTGAGTACCAACATAACTTGTTAGGTGGGCGGGTGACAGACGTTGAAAAACTCGCGGCCTAACTTAATGAATAAGACCAAGTACATCGCTTCACTATCGCAACCTACAGCTGTACCTGTCGCTGGGTATGAGGCTGACCAAAATACACAGGGTGCTCGTGTTCGACCAGAGCCCATGGATGGAGCCCTACATCAGAATGAACACAGACCTCCGAAAAGCTTGCCACCAGTGACTTTGAGAAAAATCTCTACAAGCTCATGAACAACTCGGTGTTCGGTAAGACTATGGAGAACCTGAGGAAACGCTGCGACCGCGGAAGCTGGTTCGGTCGAATGAGGAAGACAAGCTCAGGAGACTGATAGCCAGTCCGCATTCAACCGTAGCAAGATATTCACCGATGACCTAGTTGCCCTACACATGAAGAAAAGCCACATAAAATTCAACCGCCTGTTTACGGGGATGAGCATCCTCGATTTATCCAAACACCTGATGTACGACTTTACTACAACGAGCTTAAGAAACAGTACGATGACAGGTGTGAAGTGTTGTACACTGACACGGATTCCCTGCTGATGGAGATTCAAACCGAGGACGGTAATGAGGACATGAAAAACACCTCGATTTGTAATGACACCAGCGACTACCCCAAGGACCATACCATACACAGCACGGTGAATAAAAAGGTCCTAGGTAAGATGAAGGACGAGTGTGCTGGCACGCACCATAGCTGAGTACATAGGGTTGAGGCCTAAGATGTACTCCATACTGAAAGCCGACAATAGTGAGATCCGAAGGCTAAGGGTGTTAAGAAGCACGTGGTTAAACAACACATCAAACACGCCAGATTCAAGGAAGCCCTGTTCAAGACCCGCACTTTTAGACATAAAATGAACACACTTAGAAGTGATGGCCATAGGATATAATGGACTGACTATAAACAAGACGCCCCTGTCGCCTATGGATACTAAACGCTGGATAGCTATTGATGGATAAACACGCACGCTGCACGGGCATGAGAAAATTGAACCAAGAACATAGATATATATATATGTCACGGAACCAGAAAAGTTTGAGGCTATTTACTATAGCCCGCGTGGGTACTGGAAAGGAGCTAGCGCCAGATAGAGCTGGCTAAAATGGCGAAAGTACCGCCGAGGAAGCCAAAGCGTGGCTTGAAAACAAGCCCTGTGGCAGATCTATTTGCCACCACCACGCCACGCGCCTAGAAGGAAGTTCGGTATTAACATACCTAATAGCGCTCACCAGGCAGACCTACTGTTCCTACCCCACGATAAAAGGTACAAGTATGCCTTAACAGTCGTGGATGTAGCCAGTCGCTACAAGGAAGCCGAACCCTTGACCACGAAAGATTCGGTCCAGGTAGCCAGAGGATTCGAACGTATATACAAACGCAGTCCGCTGACGCAATAACAGAGCTGCAAGTTGACCCAGGGCGGAGTTCATGGGTGCCGTGGTCACAACTGCTAGCCAAACACGATACAAAGGTCAGATGGGTACGGCCAGAGCCCATCGCAGCCGCTTTCATAGTTGAGAGATTTAATAGGACTTTGGCTGAGCGCTTATTCGACATCAGTATGCGAGAGATGGCCACCCCGGGAAGCGATCGACTGAATGGGTCACGAGGTTACCTAAGGTGGTGTCGGCAATCAACCATGAAGTCACCCGCCTCACCGTAAAAGCCGGGCAGACGCTTATCAAACTAAAATCAATAGTTGCACAGTCGGCCGCCTTCCTTTATGCGGGGAAGGAGAAACAGATACCAGACAGGGTCCTAGTGAGGTATCTATACCAGCCGGGGAACACGAGGGTGATAGCCGTAGTTTGCAGCCACCGATCCTATATGGTCAGTCAAAACTTACAACATAGATAAAGTGGATATTAAAGCAGACGAGCCTAACTTGTACTACTTGAGGGATGGGCCGGGCAGAGGTTTTGTAAGAGAAGAATTATTGATCGCACTGCACGGCACAGTGTTACCGCGATAGTGTCACGGATCAGGAAAGTGCTAGTTCAGGATAGACCCGTTAAACCGAGATGATTCAGCTATGTCCCCGTAGCTCAATCGGTTGAGTGGTGCGCCCATTATGTATAGTTTGGCGCCGAGCTATACATGTGGGTTCGTGATCCCGCCTTTGCCTCAGGAGATTCCTTTGCAGCTTTGTGTGATGTGAGGTGTTTCGTAAGGAATCAAGATCATATCAGTTGGGTCGCTTAAAGCACTTAGCTGAGAGGGGCACTCTCATGGTGAGAGAAAGGCAGCCGGCACAATTCCCAAGGGGAGGAAGCGCAACATCATCTTTCGATTTCACCCTTGGGGAATTGTGGCTGCCGGGGACATTTTACTACTTTTTAGAACCTTTCTATCTTTCTATGTCATATACGCAATCCCACACACTTCAGCCGCGGGAGTTCGTATCCCGCTAGCGTCCCAAACTTTTTTATAGTAGGGGTAATGGTAGCAAGAGCTAAGGGTCCGACCAAAGCCTTATTTGGGGAATAAGGCTTTGCAGAGGCTTTTGTTGGACCTGGTCCCGTACAATCATTCCCTCTACTACTACATCTAAACCAGTAGGCACCTATACTCACTCACTTCACTCATGAATGTTTCCACAGCAAATACACTTTAGTTTCTTGTATTTTCAAGGCATGATTGAGGGAAATATCGGAATGTGGCATGTTGTAAATTTAGATATGTGTTGCTGACTGTCAGTAGACTGTTGATGAATATAAGGTTTACTGTTAGTTCTGTCTCTGTGTGTAGATTCTACTGGGATCCACACTGGAGATTTACCAGATGGCCATCACCAACTTCCTCCCAACACCATCCAAGTCCCACTATCTGTTCAACCTTCGAGACTTTGCCAGAGTTGTACAGGTAAGATAACTGTGTGCTTGTGTATCCTAGATTCTATATACCCCAGGTCTTATATACCCTAGATCCTTTATCCTAATTATCTAAGAAATGCAAATATTGATGACCACAAGTCAAAGCTACTGGTATAGTTTGCCCTCCTGTTTTGTCAGGGTATCCTGTTGATAAAAGCGTCGGTGATGCCGGCTGTTGGCACTGCTGCAGGGCAGAAGATCGCACGTCTGTGGGTGCACGAGGTGTACCGGGTGTTCTATGACAGACTTGTGGATGACCAGGATCGCAACACTTTCTTCAAAATGGTCAAGGTAAATAGTTTTAACCAACAGCAGTTACATTCAAACTATACATGAACACTGCCTGCTGAGTGTTATCATGGAACATTGTTCCATGATAACCATCAGGTTGAGTGATTTAACATGGTCTTGACTTCTTGTAGAGCTGAAACCCAAAATTGCTTATGTTTAAATCATGGTGAAGCTGAATGGATGTGTTGTGGCCATAAAGGATCCAATTCCTGTGCTGGGATTTGACCATGTGATCCCTGGTAACATGGCTTGTCCATATGACCAGTGAGGTTAACAGCAAGGTGACAAGGAAAGATGTCATCTATGGGAGGACTCACAGCACAGCGATATACGCAGCATCAGTAGCACCTCAGATAAGAATGTAGGTGGCAGATGTTACCTGTTTGGAAACGTGGGTTATGGGTCTGGCCATGGATCAGATGATTGGCTTTACCTCCTGGGGCATGTGGACACTGGGGAGTGAGTGAGTGAGTGAGTTTAGTTTTACGCCACACTCAGCAATATTCCAGCTATATGGCGGCGGTCTGTAAATAATTGAGTCTGGACCAGACAATCCAGTGATCAACAGCATGAGCATCGATCTGCACAATTGGGAACCGATGACATGTGTCAACCAAGTCAGCGAGCCTGACCACCCGATCCCAGTAGCCTTCTTTTACGACAAGCATAGCCGCCTTTTGTGGCAAGCATGGGTTGCTGAAGACCTATTCTACCCCGGATCTTCACGGGTCCTGGGAATGCTTGAGTAATTCATGTCCAGGACACTGGGGCAGACCTTGGACCTCAGGTTGCTGGTGGGCAGTGCTAAACATCCTAGGTCTGTGGGATCAAGGGATCAGATCAGGAGATAGCATATCTTTGTTAAGAGGGCAAGGGATCTTGCTTGAGAAGGAACTGAACCTCTTTGGGCATGGTAACATCCCACAGATACTCATCCAGTGTATCCTTGCAGTCAGTGGTTGAGTCACAGTTCAAGGACAAGATGAACAACCTGTTCACCCACCTTCTGGAGCCTGGCAAGTCCATCCGTGATGACACCATCCGCAGCCTGATGTTTGGGGACTATCTCACGAAGAAAGGGGAGGACAAGCTGTACGATGAAATCCTCAATCTGGATGAGCTAAGGGAGGTAAGAACAACAGTGCCATTCACTGAATATTGACACCCTCAATGACAACAATGTATGACCTTAACTACAAACCCTTAGCTAACTTACGTTCTACATTTACTGGGTATGATCGTTATCATTACTAAACATTTGAAAAACTGGAAATATAGTTGTGAGATAGCTAGCAGTAAAGGAAAGGCTTTAATAATGTTTGTAGTATTGATGACATTTTGCATATTGTTTGTGACAATGCTGATCAACTGTTACATATAAATGACTGACAGATGTTTGTATAGATGAATATTCCTACACAAGACACATTACCAGTGATTCCATCTGAAATGCCAAATCACACCAATATTAATTATGTAGAGTGATGCTGATAACAAATACCCAAGGGTGTTTGATATTTGGACATGAATCTGTCACACCAATTAACTGCCTGCTTCAGACAATAGAGCACAACCTGGAGGAGTACAACATGATGAGCAAGGCCCCCATGGAGCTGGTGATGTTCAGGTTCGCCATCGAACACATCTCCAGAATTAGCCGAGTTCTCAAGCAGCCAAATGGTCACTGTCTCCTTGTGGGTGAGTTTGTTTTCATGTTCAGATGTGTTATTCATGAATAAATATCTCACAACCAGCATAAAGTTCTAAATATATAAGATGACAATACACCATTTTAGCAAAATTCTCAGTGCTGAATGAGTCCCAGAAGTGATGTAGGTTTTAGTGACTTACAAGTTTGATAAATACCACCTGCATGGTCATGTTCAAGGTATGCAACTCTGTACAGTAAATTGTGTCTTGTTAAGAAACTGGCTGAACGGAGGTAGTCATGGTTCCCTATAACGCCTGCTTTGCATAAGAGCTGACTGAGGTGTGGATCAATATGTTGCTTAGTTAACTGTATGTCATAGTTTGCTGACAGCATGGATAGTTGCTCATCTTCTTGACCACTGGTTTAGATGTAATACTGCTGAATGTGACATAACACATTACTCCTGCAAAGAAGAACATCAAGGTAGCAAGGGTATGGTCAATCATGTGATGGTTTGTTTGACCAGGTATTGGGGGCAGTGGTCGTCAGAGTGTCACCAGACTGGCAGCATTTATGTCTGACTTTGAGCTGTTCCAAATTGAGATCACCAAGAACTATACTACCGTGGAGTGGAGAGATGATCTGAAGCGGATGATGCGGAGAGCTGGAGATGAGGGAGTGTCCACGGTCTTCCTGTTTGGGGACCATCAGATCAAGGCAAGCATCCCAACAAGTGATGTGTAATAGATAACTCTTCAACATTGAAGATCTTAGTTGGAATTGTCATGCTTGTCATAAGAGGTGATCAGTCAGGCTGACTGTCCTAGTTGATGCTTCCCAGTTGCATGGATCAATGTTCATGATGTCAATCACTGGATCATCTGGCTCTGATTGAATTATTTATAGATTCCTGTCTTGTAGCTGGATTGTTGCAGAGTAAAAAACCGAACAAACATTCTTCACCAAGCTATCATCATGTACTCAAGAATGTTATGGCAACTTGATTGCAGAAGTTCTGCATAAAGACAATTTTGATGAGGTAATTGATATATAGATAAAATGTAACTATGGTAACTGTTACAGGATGAATCATTCCTGGAGGACGTGAACATGATCCTGAACACTGGTGACATCCCAAACCTGTATGACAATGAGGAACGCCTGGAGATTATTGAGAAGGTAGGTAGATAGACTGGAGATTATTGGTAAGATAGGTGGACATTATTGAGAACTGTAAATGCCATCTTGGTCAGCACAGTGACTGTCAATCACTATTGTCATCTTGGTGAGGATCACAATCACTGTTGTCATCTTGGTGAGGATCACAATCACTGTTGTCATCTTGGTGAGGATCACAATCACTGTTGTCATCTTGGTGAGGATCACAATCACTGTTGTCATCTTGGTGAGGATCACAATCACTGTTGTCATCTTGGTGAGGATCACAATCACTGTTGTCATCTTGGTGAGGATCACAATCACTGTTGTCATCTTGGTGAGGATCACAATCACTGTTGTCATCTTGGTGAGGATCACAATCACTGTTGTCATCTTGGTGAGGATCACAATCACTGTTGTCATCTTGGTGAGGATCACAATCACTATTGTCATCTTGGTGAGGATCACAATCACTGTTGTCTTGCAGATGCAGGTTGTGTGTCAGGTGGAAAACCTCCAGATAGAGTTCACTCCCCTGAACATGTACAACAAGTTCATTGAGCGGATCCGACGTAACCTGCATGTGGTGCTGGCATTCAGTCCCATTGGAGACACCTTCCGGAACAGACTCCGAATGTTCCCGTCCCTCATCAACTGCTGCACCATAGACTGGTTCAAGGTCAGGTCATCCTCTTTAAAACTTAGGTGAAAAAATTGCAAAATGTACTGACAGAAATGAATAGGGGAGGGGATAGAAGAGAATAGAGGAGTACATCCTGTACCCAGCCTCAGTACAGCGGAAGATGTATCGTGGTATGGTAGTTATGCACCTAACACCTTTACTTTTGTTCGTTTGAAGTACCGAACAGAGATGTTAGTCTGAAGTACTACGTATACCTTCCTGTTTACTGACATTTTTCTGGGAGTATATTGATTAAGGTTTTCTGACTCTGGGCTTAGATCCTGAGTGTATAAATCCATATATCACTGCTACCCTGTGTAACACAATATCGGTAATGCTAATGCATGCATTAAAGTAGCCTGTGTTGGTGTAGGCGTGGCCGGAGGATGCCCTGGAGCTGGTGGCCAACAAGTTCCTGGATGAGGTGGAGATGTCTCAGGATGTCAGAGACAACACAGTAGTCATGTGCAAACACTTCCACGAGAGTGTCCGAGCTCTCTCAACCAGGTCAGTACCACAGTATAGTCCGTTTGGCTCAAAAGCAGACCGATGAATTGCAGTCTAACTCAAAAACTAATAAACATATAATACTCAATGAAACGCTGATCATAATCAAAACATCAGACCAACTCCGTGAGTTTGTTGCAGAATTTATGTCCTAATAATAATAAAGTTGTTTAACAAACTATCATTAAAATATTTACACAGTTCACTATTTGTTACAAGGGAGGAGTGCAAAGAGAGGAACAGCCAGGTGTGCGAGAAAGGATGGGGACAGCACAGCACAGGTGAATGAATCAATAACTTTGTCGGCACTTGTGCTCGTGTTTCTCGTACACCTGGCTGTCCCTTTTGAGCCAAACGGACTATAGTCATGTGCAAACACTTCCATGAGAGTGTCCGAGCTCTCTCAACCAGGTCAGTACCACAGTAGTTTATGTGTGCAGAACAACTGACATTTTCCAAACCAATAGCATTACCACTGTGGAGACTGCTGACCAGAGTTAATGGTGGCAGTTGCCACAAATCTCATTCCATATATTGAGTGCCTAGGTTCGACTTTCCATGATTACAATGTGTGAACCCCATTGCTAGTGTCCATCAGTGCTGGAATATCTCAAAGCATAATCAGCTATTTAACGCAGGTACTATGAAACGATGCGGCGAAGGAACTATGTGACTCCGACTTCCTACTTGGAGTTGATCAAGACATTCAAGAACCTCCTGAACAAGAAGAGATTGGAGATCCTGACCCTGAAGAACAGGTACATGGTGGGCCTGGAGAAGCTGGAGTTCTCCGAGTCTCAGGTGAGGAACTCTACCATGTATAGTGTCCTGCACACCTTATCCAGGGAGGCACACCTTTCTTCTGAAATGAGAGAGTGAACCTTGTTTTGTTATTTCAAAAGTGGCTTCCCCAGGAGATGTTGGTTGGGTGAAGATGATATCAAAGGACATCACTAGTTTCTCTGCAGCTGACGCTGGTTAGCTGTATTTTGTACTCTCAAGTCATTGTTTTCACTAATTACAAACTGAAACAGTTTGAAAACTTATTTGTAATGATAAAATGAATCTAACTCTTTTGTCCTTTATAATCAATCAAATACATCATCACAAGCTTTAAAGATTTAAACTTGTATTAGCTCATGTTGATGTATTTTGGTATCAAGACACACTGGGTGATATTGTCTATAACTGCTACAGTTGCTAAGGTTTCAGCTACGTCAGTGGGGTGTGGACCAGACAAAACAATGGTGACTAGTTGCGCATGATAACCCACTATAAGCTAGGTCATGTGACATCTCACAGGATTCTGGGTAGCTGCAGATCATGGCATCTCTTCTTGCCCTGTAGATCAACGTGATGCAAGAGGAACTCATCGACCTGCAGCCGAAGTTGATTGAGACAAGCAAGGAGACTGAAGAGCTCATCAAGATTATTGAGGAGGAAACGGTGGAGGTGGAGGAGAAGAAAGGACTTGTCGAAGCAGATGAGGCTAGGGCCAACAATGCTGCCATGGAGGCAAAGGGTATCAAGGTGAGTCACATAGACCATTGTAGTCAATAAGGGTGTCAAAGTGAGTTACTTGGACTGTTGGAGTTACTTGGACTGTTGGAGTTACTTGGACTGTTGGAGTTACTTGGACTGTTGGAGTTACTTGGACTGTTGGAGTTACTTGGACTGTTGGAGTTACTTGGACTGTTGGAGGTACTTGGACTGTTGGAGTTACTTGGACTGTTGGAGGTACTAATGAGTTATGTTATTCACATGGACCATTGGTGTCAAGGTAAATCACATACACCTTTATTGTTACATACACTGTTGGTGTAAAGCTAAGTTGCATGGAACATTGAGATCATGGTGAGTCACATGGATTGATGGCATTGAGATTATTCATGTAAACTATTTTGAACTTGGCTAATGTTATTACTTGCATTGTGAAAAAGGCTGAGTGTATATTGTTGACTAATGCATTTCCTTTAGGTATAATATGTTATTCTATATGTTTGCATATTTTCCATGTAAACAGATGGGTAAATGTTTACTGTGTTACTTTTCTTGACACATGTAAGTTTCTTCTTCAAAGGATGAATGTGAGGCCAAGCTTGCTGTAGCTCTACCTGCCTTGAACGCTGCTGTTGCCGCTCTCAACACTCTGAAGCAGAACGACATCTCCATTGTGAAGAACCTCCAGAACCCTCCGTCAGGGGTGAAGCTGGTGATGGAGGCTGTCTGCATCATGAAGGTAGGCAGACGCTGGATTTCCAGAATCACTTGAACATGACACTGCACCAACATTTGGCTGGGCTGAGGCATTGATGTTATATTGTTAATTCAGTGTGCTATAAGTGAAGTTCTTGAAATGTTGATGATGGTGTTTTTGTTGTGACTATATTGTTCACATTTGTAAGTGGTTGTGTGCATGTTTCAGGGAATCAAACCTGAGAGGAAGCTGGACCCAAACGGCAAGGCTGGAGAAGACTACTGGGCCCCTGCCAGGAAGGTAAGTAACTTGGTAAATATAGATGTGAGTGGAAGACTACCAGCAGCAATCAACTGGAGTATCACATGTCTGAGTTGCAAGTAGGTTGTTGTACATATTAACCATGTAATTATTCTCTGTAATAATATAGAAAGTATGGATTACCCTACCACAGGGTCAGTGAATATTTTGCTGGAACTATATGTTTGGGGAGGCACCTGGTGTGACAGGAAAGAAACACAATACTTTAAGCTTTTTGCTGAACCCTTTTAATTTATGTGTGAGCCTGTAAACACAAACATAATAAGATGACCATGCTAAAACTGTTTTAAAAAAAAAATCTTTTCTGGAAGTTAGTCCTTAAGAAAAATAACCTCAATGCTGACATGTAAACTTTTGACCAAGCAAGCCTGTAGGACAAATTTGAGTATTCCTCATGTGACATATGTCGGTAACGCCTTCCCTCACTTGTGTGTGCTGCGCAGATGTTGGGAGACATGAAGTTTCTGGAGTCACTGAAGGAGTATGACAAGGACAACATTCCGGCAGCAACCATCAAGAAGATCCGGGACAAGTACATCAACAACCCCGACTTCGACCCGGCCATCATCAAGAACGTGTCATCAGCCTGTGAGGGCCTGTGCAAGTGGGTCCGGGCCATGGATGTTTATGATGGTGTCATCAAGGTGAGTGGCATCTGATCATGGAGATAGTGAGGGTGAGATGTGTTCATTTTGTCACAGAGTCTACCAGGGTAGTCACTAAACTCCTTTAAGGCTGTTGGACCCAGGTGTGATATGATGTTTTGTCCGAGATACGGACATCTTACCGGTGCTCCTGGATTTCACCTAAGTAATGCACTTGTAAGACCTGCATCACTTTGGGTTTTCCACCCACAATGTCTTGATATGCTGTGTTCCCCGACCGCGTCAAACCAAAAGACGTTAAAATATGGTACTTGTTGGTCCCTGCCTGGCGCTCGGCATTAATGGGTACAACAAGGACTGGTCGGCTCGGAGTCAGTATAATGTGTCTGAGTGGGGTATTGATGCTTCACTGCGGCATGGTATCTCAGTGGGCTAGCACTATAAAACCAGCTTCAGTCTGGGCTAGTACAAGCAGCCGCACATACACATACACACGCATGCACGTCGTCATATGAGCGAAATATTCTCAAGCACGACGTAAAACCCAATTTCACCTCACCTCACCTGATATGCTGTGATATAACTGAATTAAACCCAACTGGCTCACTCACTGATGACCTGTAGGTGGTGGCTCCCAAGCAGCAGAGTCTGGCAATGGCAGAAGGAGTCCTTGAGGACCAGATGGCCAAGCTGAAGGAGAAGCAGGCAGAACTGAAGACTGTCCGTGACAAGCTGGCCAACCTAAATGACCATCTCAACCAGAAGCAGACCGAGAAAAAGGTCAGGGCAGATTTCTTTCAGTATCAAAGATGCTGCTTCAACAAAGCAGAGCTGTCAACCCCTAAAGATGGTTTGGAGTGAGACTGAAAAAAATAAGCCAGGGTCCAGCTGGGGTCATGTCGAGGGCGACGCCCTGGTGGGGGGTCTCTTGGGGGGGCGAGGCCCTCCGCCCCCGAAAATGAAGTTTAGTGATTTTCAGGAGCATTTGGAGCCTTCTGGTGGCATTATTTTGACACTAAAAGATGCATGCTAATAAATAATAATAAGCCGAATCATTCGCATAAACATCGTTTTAGTACTTCGTTCATTCAGGCGTTCTTTCAATGTTCAACTTTACGCAAAAACGAACGAAAATGCGTATTAATTTTGAAATTATTTTTGGCTACCAGATATGCGTGAGATTATTATTTGGAGGCGTGAGAGCGTGACATTTGTCAATAAAGCGTGAGACTCACGCCAAATGCGTGAGAGTTGACAGGTATGACAAAGCCTCCAGAAATGCTCTCCCAAATATTGTCATAATGGTTTAGTAAACAACCTAAAATATAACAGAGATACAAGTTGCTCTTCTTCTGTTCTTTATCTGTTTGAAGTCATTACAATTTCATACATCTTCACAACTACTTTTAAATATCAATGTTAGAATCTGACGTATATCCACATTACAGAACTTGGAGGACAACATCGAGTTGACGAAGGTGAAGATAGAGAGGGCCAACAAGCTGATCAGCGGCCTGGGTGGGGAGAGGTCACGGTGGACGCAGAATGTCCATGAGCTCAGCGAGACGTATGACAACATCGTGGGTGATGTCCTTCTCTCCGCCAGTGTAGTAGCCTATCTGGGACCTTTTATTCTGGATTATAGGCTGGTGAGAAAAGCTTGATGTACAGTGCTACCTCATAATCCCAACAGTGGCCTCTCCACTAACATTGTGTTGATGAACATGGTTCCAGATTAACACAACAATAATAATGTCTGTGAGTCAGATGTGTTGTCATCTGTGATCTCTGTATGTCATCTGTGACAGATCTGTAATGTCTATGTGTCATCTGTGACATTTTTTACTTCTGTGAGACATCCGTAACATCTGTGTGTTGTCTGTGTCATCTGTGATCTCTGTATGGCACCTGTCTATCATCTGGGACACATCTGTGATGTCTGTGTGTCATCTGTGAGACATCTGTAATGTCTATGTGTCATCTGTGACATCTTTGACATCTGTGAGACATCCGTAGCATCTGTGTGTTGTCTGTGTCATCTGTGTCATGTGTGTCATCTGTGTTGCAGGAGTGTCTGAAGGAGTGGTATGACATGTGTAAAGACAAGGGGATTCCAGTATCTGAGACCTTCTCTCTGTCAAGCACTCTTGGAGATCCGGTCAAGATCCGAGACTGGCAAATAGCTGGTCTCCCAGTGGACAAGTAAGTATCATAGTGTGAAAGTATCCTTGACTCTACAACCTCTGTAAGTAGAAGTGAGTCTTGTCTTGTATCTTTGACTGCATAAGTAAGCTGTCATTGTATCTGAACAAAACACATTCAGTAACAGTTATCCAAATATATGAACTATTGTGTGTGTGTTCTTTATTCAATGCCACATGCAGCTGCATTGCATCTGTATGAAGGTCTGGATTTGATTGAGTCTGGACCAGACAATCCAGTGATTGGTATTTTTAGTAACGATCAACATTGTCAGTGTATCTGGACACACCATCAGCTGTGTCATTAAGCCTGAACCACTTTTCAATTCAGTCTCCTCTTACGACCAGCGTAGGTTGCTAGGGCCAATTCTAACTCACACTCACCATGGGTTGTGAATTTAGTTGCCCCTTATCAGAAATCATACTGTTTGTATTTCATATTTGTTTCTCAGGGATATAGAACTTTGCTGAATACTTTTTAAAAGAAATTAGTTTGTATGTGAAAAATGAAATTTCCATACCGAGAATTTGCCTTGTACTTGTCATACCTGTATCTCAAAGTCAAGCAAACTGAACCAGCTTGTGTAGCTCTCCCAGTTGTTTAGTTTCCTCTTATGTCTCCCTTCAGCTACTCTGTGGACAATGCTATCATACTACTCTGTGGACAATGCCATCATTGTGACTTGCTCTTCCCTTCAGCTACATAAGTCTTCCTTCACATGGGCTGTCTGTTACTCTGGTGGACATTGCTGGAATATTGCTAAAAGCGTTGTCTCTTAAACTAAATGCTCAGTCAGTCAGTCAGTCAGCTGCTCTGTGGACAATGCTATCATTGTGACTTGCCTCTTATGTCTCCCTTCAGCTGCTCTGTGGACAATGCGGTTGTCTCTTAAGCTAGCCTAGTGGTTAAAAGTGGACAAATGCTTGTGACTTGTCTCTTATGTCGCACGCCAAGACCGGGTTCGATTCTCTGTGGACAATGTGTTAAGCCCATTTCTCATTGGTGTCCCCAGCTACTGCGTGATCATTGCTGGAATATTGCTCTTATGTCTCCCTTCAGTGGACAATGCCATCATTGTGACTTGTCTCTGATGTCTCCCTTCAGCTACTCTGTGGACAATGCCATCATTGTGACTTGCCTCTTATGTCTCCCTTCAGCTACTCTGTGGACAATGCTATCATTGTCTCCCTTCAGCTCTCTTCAGTGACTTGCCTCTTATGTCTCCCTTCAGCTACTCTGTGGACAATGCCATCATTGCTTGTGACTCTGCCTCTTATGTCTCCCTTCAGCTATCATATGTCTCCCTCCCTTCAGCTACTCTGTGGACAATGCCATCATTGTGACTTGCCTCTTTCTATGTCTCCCTTCAGCTACTCTGTGCTATCATTGTGACTTGTCTCTTATGTCTCCCTTCAGCTACTCTGTGGACAATGCCATCATTGTCTCTTGTCTCTTATGTCTCCCTTCAGCTACTCTGTGGACAATGCCATCATTGTGACTTGCCTCTTATGTCTCCCTTCAGCTACTCTGTGGACAATGCCACTCATCATTGTGACTTGCCTCTTATGTCTCCCTTCAGCTACTCTGTGGACAATGCCATCATTGTGACTTGCCTCTTATGTCTCCCTTCAGCTACTCTGTGGACAATGCTATCATTGTGACTCTTGTGACCTCTTATGTCTCCCTTCAGCTACTCTGTGGACAATGCCATCATTGTGACTTGCCTCTTATGTCTCCCTTCAGCTACTCTGTGGACAATGCCATCATTGTGACGTCAGCCAACCGATGGCCACTAATGATTGACCCTCAAGGTCAGGCCAACAAGTGGATCAAGAACATGGAGAAGGCCAATAAACTGGAGGTGGTCAAACTGTCTGACCCCAACTACACGCGAGGACTTGAGAACTGTCTTCAGGTAAGACTCCTGGAACTCAGTCAGAGGGCAGATGTCTCTGCACACTCTGGTCTTGACATTCTTTGTTTTCCCAGGGAGCCACCTGGATCCTCATTTTGTTTTAGGCATTGAGTCCTGAAGTCTCCTGAGTGGAGAGATGTGAAGTCATCAAAAGGTTCAGACATTAGAAATAGCCATAACACAGGTACTTGATTAATCTAGGGCACACAGAACTAAATTTTATTGCACAGGTTTGCTGTGTATGTAACTTCAACTACAAAGTTATTTATTATGACATATGTTCAGTTATTGTGATGTAATCAAATTTCATGATTAAAGTTAATGTGTTTGAATCAAGTTCCTTTGTTTCAAGTGAAGCAGGTATGATGTTTGCTGACATTCGTGTATTGTATGTTGTACAGTTCGGCAACCCCTGTCTACTGGAGAACATTGGGGAGGAGCTGGACCCCATCCTGGAACCCATCCTGCTGAAACAGACATTTAAACAGGTCAGGAGAATATCAGTAACTGGTAATAGAACTCATTCCAGCTGGAATATCATGATAATTCATTACCATGGTAATCACACCATAATTGAAGACATTCCAGGATAGAACAGATCTGACAGCAGTGTAAAACTCACTCACTTATTCACCTCTGCTCTAGACATGTAGGATCACTGTTGGCAGTGTTGCTTTAAAAGATTGAATCATCAGATTTAACACACCCATATGTACTGAAGAGTAGTGTCAACAATCTTATTTTATCGTAACAGCTCTGTGGCTGATGTGAAAGTAGTTTCCAATATTTGCAAGGGAAGCTAGTTCAGTATGTTTTAAATCTCTGATTTCTTATTTCCTGCTTGTTTCAAGGATGTAAGTAAATTGTTACTTCTGACTTTGCATGTATAATACTAGTGTCCGTGGGATATGTATGTTTATCACTAGTGTTTTTCTATGAGATATGCATGTTAATCTCCAGTATGTGTAGGATAGGTGTGTTATGCATGTTTATCACCAGTGCCTGTCTGTAGAATAAGCATGTTTATCTCCAGTGTGTCTGTAGGATAAGCATGTTTATCTCCAGTGTGTCTGTCTGTGTGTGTCTGTGGATATGGGATAAGCATGTTTATCTCCAGTGTGTGTGTGTCTGTGGGATAAGCATGTTTATCTCCAGTGTGTGTCTGTAGGATATGCATGTTTATCTCCAGTGTGTCTGTGGGATATGCATGTTTATCTCCAGTGTGTGTCTGTAGGATATGCATGTTTATCTCCAGTGTGTGTCTGTGGGATATGCATGTTTATCTCCAGTGTGTGTCTGTAGGATAAGCATGTTTATCTCCAGTGTGTGTCTGTGGGATATGCATGTTTATCTCCAGTGTGTGTCTGTGGGATATGCATGTTTATCTCCAGTGTGTATCATGTTTATCTCCAGTGTGGATAATATGCATGTTTATCTCCAGTGTGTCTGTAGGATATGCATGTTTATCTCCAGTGTGTGTATGTAGGATAAGCATGTTTATCTCCAGTGTGTGTCTGTGGGATATGCATGTTTATCTCCAGTGGGTCTGTAGGATAAGCATGTTTATCTCCAGTGTGTGTCTGTGGGATATGCATGTTTATCTCCAGTGTGTGTCTGTAGGATAATGCATGTTTATCTCCAGTGTGTGTCTGTGGGATATGCATGTTTATCTCCAGTGTGTGTCTGTAGGATATGCATGTTTATCTCCAGTGTGTGTCTGTGGGATATGCATGTTTATCTCCAGTGTGTGTCTGTGGGATATGCATGTTTATCTCCAGTGTGTCTACGGGATATGTATTTTATCTCCAGTGTGTGTCTGCAGGATAAGCATGTTTATCTCCAGTGTGTGTCTGTGGGATAAACATGTTTATCTCCATGTTTATCTCCAGTGTGTGTCTGTGGGATAATGCATGTTTATCTCCAGTGTGTGTTTGTGGGATATGCATGTTTATCTCCAGTCATGTTTATCTCCAGTGTGTCTGTACGATATGCATGTTTATCACCAGTGTGTGTCTGTAGGATATGCATGTATATCTCAGTGTGCATGTGTCTGTAGGATATGCTTGTATATCTTCATGTTTATCTCCAGTGTATGCATGTATATCTTCAGTGTGTGTCTGTAGAATATGCATGTTTATCAGCAGTGTGTCTACGGTATATGTATTTTTATCTCCAGTGCCTGTCTATAGAATATGCATGTTTATCTCGGGGGTGTCTGTGGAATATACGTGTTTATTTCCGTGTGAGTCTGTAGGATAGGCATTTCTATCTCCAGGGCCTGTCTGTAGAATATGTATGTTTATCTCCAGTGTGAGTCTGTAGGATGTGCATGTTTATTTCCAGAGAGTGTCTGTATACTAAGGATATGCCGGTTTATCTCCAGTGTGTGTCCCTCTGATATGTATGTTTGTAAATGTAATGTGTGACAATATAGACAATTTATTGCTGTTGTAGATCTTTCTTTTATAATAGACAGTGATGCTAATAAAGGAGATGATACTAAGACAAAAATATGTATTTGGTATATTTTGTACTCTAAGTAGTTCATAACTGATAATTCTATTACTTTTGTAAGGTTCTACCTGATGTTGCTTGGTTAATATGTTGACAGCATAAACAAATATCCTATTTGGAGGTTTTGAAACAGTTTTAAGTTTAAAGCCAATTTTTGTTATCAACCAGTACTTGTTCTTAAGGGATAACACTGGTGTGTTTAGAAAAAGAAATAATTTCCCATGTTTAGATTAAAAAGAGGAGACATTATGAGTCAAATAACATTTTGAAATGTTTTATACTGTCTGTTGTAAATGTTGGTTATGGCGTGTGAACTATCAAGATTTATCGCTCTCTCCTCTGTTTCCATCAGAACGGCCTGGACTACATCCGGATTGGAGAACACATAGTGGAGTACAGCAAAGACTTCAAGTTCTACATCACAACCTGCATGAGGAACCCACACTACCTGCCTGAAGTGTCTGTGACGGTGAGTGAACAGACCCACACTACCTGCCTGAGGTGTCTGTGAAGGTGAGTGAACAGACCCACACTACCTGCCTGAGGTGTCTGTGAAGGTGAGTGAACAGACCCACACTACCTGCCTGAGGTGTCTGTGAAGGTGAGTGAACAGACCCACACTACCTGCCTGAGGTGTCTGTGAAGGTGAGTGAACAGACCCACACTACCTGCCTGAGGTGTCTGTGAAGGTGAGTGAACAGACCCACACTACCTGCCTGAGGTGTCCTGAAGGTGAGTGAACAGACCCACACTACCTGCCTGAGGTGTCTGTGAGGTGAGTGAACAGACCCACACTACCTGCCTGAGGTGTCTGTGAAGGTGAGTGAACAGACCCACACTACCTGCCTGAGGTGTCTGTGAAGGTGAGTGAACAGACCCACACTACCTGCCTGAGGTGTCTGTGAAGGTGAGTGAACAGACCCACACTACCTGCCTGAGTGTCTGTGAAGGTGAGTGAACAGACCCACACTACCTGCCTGAGGTGTCCATGAAGGTGAGGTGTCCGAACAGACCCACACTACCTGCCTGAGGTGTCCATGAAGGTGAGTGAACAGACCCACACTACCTGCCTGAGGTGTCCATGAAGGTGAGTGAACAGACCCACACTACCTGCCTGAGGTGTCCATGAAGGTGAGTGAACAGACCCACACTACCTGCCTGAGGTGTCCCACACTACCTGCCTGTGAGAAGGTGTCTGTGAAGGTGAGTGAACAGACCCACACTACCTGCCTGAGGTGTCTGTGAAGGTGAGTGAACAGACCCACACTACCTGCCTGAGGTGTCTGTGAAGGTGAGTGAACAGACCCACACTACCTGCCTGAGGTGTCTGTGAAGGTGAGTGAACAGACCCACACCTGCCTGTGAAGGTGAGTGAACAGACCCACACTACTACCTGCCTGAGGTGTCTGTGAAGGTGAACAGACACCTGCCTGAGGTGTCTCTGTGAAGGTGAGTGAACAGACCCACACTACCTGCCTGAGGTGTCTTTGAAGGTGAGTGAACAGACCCACACTACCTGCCTGAGGTGTCTGTGAAGGTGAGTGAACAGACCCACACTACCTGCCTGAGGTGTCTGTGAAGGTGAGTGAACAGACCCACACTACCTGCCTGAGGTGTCTGTGAAGGTGAGTGAACAAACCCACACTACCTGCCTGAGGTGTCTGTGAAGGTGAGTGAACAAACCCACACTACCTGCCTGAGGTGTCTGTGAAGGTGAGACAACAGAATTCACTTTCATCTAGATATGATACATTCACAAAGATGTTAAAGTATTTTAATTTTGTTCTTTGGGACTCACCTTTTATATATCCTTCTTGCTGTAGATTCGTGAGTGAGTGAGTTTGGTTTTATGCCGCTTTTAGCAATATTCCAGCAATATCACGGCGGGGAACACCAGAATGCTGTAGATTAATAAGGGAATACACATAATCATTTTTGGGAACAAGTGTGTGAAATTTCAGCTTCACAGTAGCCTACATCATAGTCCCTAAACCATATTATATTCTCTGTGACCCAACCCTTTCTGGAATACAGAAGCCCTTAATAGAGCAAGTCTAGATTTTGTCTCAGGTTCAGGGTCTGTCAAACACATCAAACTGCCCTCCCTGGCTGATCCAGCATCTCTACCAGTCCCAGGTCAGGAATCATAATAGTTGCATCAGCCAATGTTTAATCAGCAAATACAGGGTGACACAAGAAGCTAGAGATGCTCAGACCTAGTCCAACACAGCTAGGTTCATCCAGATATCTTAATTGCAGGTGACTCTCCTGAACTTCATGATCACCCCGCTGGGTCTGGAGGACCAGCTGCTGGGGATTGTGGCCGCCAAGGAGAAGCCGGAGCTGGAGGAAACAAAGAACCAGCTGATTGTGGAGAGTGCCAAGAACAAACGCCAGCTGAAGGAGATTGAGGACAAGATCCTGGAAGTCTTGTCAACATCCCAGGTGAGTAGATCTTAAAGGTCAACATCCTAGATCTGGGAGGTCCTGTCAACATCCCTGGTTTCAGTTCTTTATATGGTTGATTTACAAATTGGTCAATGATTGTGTCCAGTGAAAGCTAACTTGTCTTGATATCTGAAGTGGACTTCATTCTGTGTCTTAAAATGGACATTCCAGAAGCATCCAGCATATGTAACATACACGTTTTGCTAATGTCACCAATCTTCACATGGTAGTTCCAGAGTTTGTCTGATGGATGAGGATGTGGAACATGTTATCATGTTCTCTTTCCAGTCAATTTCTTGGACAGCCCCTAATTATATATATATATCATTTAGGGAAACATTCTTGAAGATGAGACAGCCATTGAAATATTGTCATCAAGCAAGGTTCTGTCTGAGGAGATTTCAGAGAAACAGCAGATCGCTTCACAGACCGAGGCAGAGATTGACCAAGTCAGAAACGGCTACAAGCCAGTGAGTATTTTATGTTCATGATAGTCTTATATTTGCCTAACACCTTGAATGATGGTTCCTGTGTGGTTAACAGGCTTCAGCCATGATGTGGAGGTACAGCCAGATGTAAATATACATATAATAGTCATATCTATCAACAGGAAGGTGAACAGATCACATCTGTGATTTGTGTGCCCACATCTGTCAGTACTAAGGTGAAAAGATCATATCTGTAGTTTGCGTGTCTATCTTCGTTTCAGGTAGCTAAACATGGCAGCATGCTGTTCTTCACCATCTCCGACCTGGCCAACATTGACCCCATGTATCAGTACTCTCTCACCTGGTTCATCAACCTATATCTACAGGTAATGCTCTGTTTACAGGTAATGTGCAATCTACAGGTAACGAAGCAATCTTCAGGTAATGTCCTATCTACAGGTAACATGCAATCTGCAGGTAATGTCCAATCTACAGGTAACATGCAATCTTCAGGTAATGTCCTATCTACAGGTAACATGCAATCTGCAGGTAATGTCCTATCTACAGGTAACATGCAATCTGCAGGTAATGTCCTATCTACAGGTAACATGCAATCTGCAGGTAATGTTCTATCTGCAGGTAACATACAATCTGCAGGTAATGTCCTACCTACAGGTAACATGCACTCTACAGGCAAAGCCCCTCCATCTGCCATATCTAATTACAATGTATCCTAGTTCAGATGGCTCTAGATCCTGTAGATGACCTCAAACTCTATATATGTTTCAGTCTATCATGAACAGCGAGCCATCTGAGCAGCTGAATGTGAGGATCTACAACCTGAATGACCACTTCACCTACAGCATCTACAAGAACGTCTGTCGCTCCCTGTTTGAGAAGGACAAGTTGCTCTTCTCATTTCTCCTGTGTATTGGGCTGGAGAAGGGGAGGTGGGTGCCACTCTCTCTGATGACTGTTAGAAAACAAAATACCAGTACTAATAGTCAAGCCAAAACAAGCCTGTTGATCCATAGCAAGAAATAAATACTGTTTCAACTAAGGTCTCACAAAATATAAATATGTCCTGTATAGATGTTTTGTGGAACAGTTTGTTGGTCTGGTGGTCCTTCACCACATGTGCTTGAGTGTGTCGTGTTTCCTTGTACAGAGGTCTTGTGGATGACCAGGAGTGGCGCTTCCTGTTGACTGGAGGCGTGGCGCTGGAGAACCCATTTCCCAACCCTGCCCAAGAGTGGCTGCCGGAGAAGTCATGGTCTGAGATTGTTAGATGTTCCTACCTACCAGCCTTCCAGGGATTCATGGATCATTTCCAGAAGAATGTTAGTTCATATCATTTTTCTCTAATGAATTTTCGTTTTATATTTTCATACTCACAATAATAGAACAGTTCCTTAGTATTAAAACAGGACTAGATACTATATTCTTACGATTCCTTAAAAAATTCTTGAAACTTGATGCTAAGTGTCAGAAGAGTAGTTTGCAGGTCAATGTTTAATTGTGATGTGTTCCCCAGATCACGGAATGGAAGTGTGTCTATGACTCCACAACGCCCCACACAGAGCAGCTTCCACAACCATGGGGAGATAATCTCTCCCGGCTACAAGAACTCATAGCTCTCCGCTGTCTGCGACCTGACAAAGTAAGTTCAATCGCATCGCATTCTACTTCTCAAACCATGGAAGTTATCTTTAAATATTTCCCGTACCCAATTTAATTATGTTATACACATACACAACATATTTCACAAGACTTCTCCTCACCTATTTCTTGAAAAGTGAAGTCTCCTCTCCTGTACCTTCTCTACTTTCATCTCCTCCTCTACTTTCATCTCCTCCTCTTTCAGCCCTTTGCTCTCTTTCTGTCTGTTCCATTTTCTCACACATCTCTCTTACAACCTTTCTCTCTTTGTTGTCAACTCTCTTCTTCTCAAACTTTCTTCCTCCTCTCTTCCTCTGCAGTCTTCTTTCACCTCTGTCAACTTCCTCCTTCCTTCTCTACATCATCCTCATGGTTGACATATGACCCCCAGATTGTGCCAGCTGTCCAGACATACATCCAGGAGAGGATGGGTGCGATCTACATAGAGCCCCCGACCTTTGACCTGTCTCTCTGCTATGCGGACTCCAACTACTTCTCTCCGCTGATCTTCGTCCTATCTCCCCCCGGAGCAGATCCCATGGCTGGACTGTATCGCTTTGCCGAGGAAAAGGGTAAATGAGTTCTCCATGATGCCCTTTGAACATCTATGTGTGGTGTGCCGTGAGACTGCTCTAGCATAGTCAGTAGGGGACTGGCAATTAAGTGTACACTCCAAACATTTATATTTTAAATAGCTATGTGTCATTACAATAATACTATATAGAATTTAGCTAAAGATTTTTTCCAAGTGCTCTCTAGAACAGCATTGTAACATGTAAGTAACATGTTTGAAGGAAGTTAAGCTGGTAGGATGTGCAGCAAGAGCTAAGGCTGCCCATTCCATGACTGGTGTATGGTGTCTGGAAGGTACTCTCAGGGGAGTCTCACCCATTTCAAATGTTTATCTCACTGAAGCATCAGACAGATGATGATTACCACAGAATCCATTGTACAGACTACAAGGGCCTTTCAGACTGCCCCTTGTAAACTATTGTCAATTTCCCAATCTGATAAGCAATGCTTTAATTGGATGAAAAGTTGATTGTTTGTGATCTTTAAATTGATGGCCTCAGATCCTTGTTTAACATTAGTGATCATTGAGACCTGATTTCAGTGAGACTGCCCCATACCATATCTCTCACAGCTTTCTAATAGTGTAGAGTGTTTATCAAGTAGTGTTGTCATGTGTTTGGATTGCTGTGGCTGAATTAGAACCTATTCATTAGTGGTCACTTGCTGTGTGGACTTCACCTTCATTCTTTACACTTTCATACATTGTACATGTTGTTTCTTACAGGTTTTAAGGGAATTTCAAACGTTAACTAATTAATAAATTTAAAACTTGGAGAAAAGTAGCTTTCAGCATTATTAACTTTTGAAGCAATGTGTTTTAAAATTATGTACAGATCTAGGAAGGCCTTTCAACGTTTTCCTGCTCAAAGTATGATAATCATAGAACGCAGAAACCAGAACTAGTAAATAACATATTACTAGTATTAATTACTTTCAGTTACCATGTTAGTATTTATACTGATGTATGCAAAGTTCACCAGTGTCTTGTGATATCATGGGAATCGATGATGTCATAAAGGCAGTTTCATTGTGGGGATATCTACCGATTGAAAATAAGCAACAAGTTTTGCATTCTGGGGTGAAGTATATTTGTTTCAAACTAAGTGAATTAGTGATTAGAAAAAACAATTTAGCTGACAATGTCCATGTTGAAAGTTCCTAAATACATAGGTGTTGGAGATGTGACTCACTTGCAAATTTTGTTGACCAATAACTTTTATTTATTTTGTGCACTAATAAGATAGCAGGTGTAAGTAATAACAGCTGTTGATTCCATCCATGTGTGGCTTTCATCCCTCCATGAATGAAAACCTTCCAAGTTTGAATTTAACATGCTATTAACAATGATCAAGGTTTACTTTTGAACTAACTGGGTGATGCTTGTTTCAGTGTTTCTAATCTTTGATATAATTCTTTGCCTGCGTCTATCAGGAATAGTTCCGTCGACAAGTAGCCGGGGGCCAAGTGGCCCAGTGCAGGCAAAGGCGGATGAATATAGGCTCAAAATGTCCGTGATTGGGAGAATTTCAGCCGAAGATTCATACTCCAGTATGTTAAGGAGAAATATTTCCAGGAACACTACATATTGTAGACATACTACTTTCCTAAATATCCTGCCTTGTCATGTTCTGGTCTGTGTCTAATATGCGGTGTCAGGATTCCAGTTCTTTTAATATTTTTCTTTTTTAATAATTTTCTGTTGTTTCTTTTTGTTTGGTCTTTGGTGTAGTTTGTTATGTTTTAAGTAGTTTTGTTATTTATCTTCAAGAAAGGTCAAACTAAAACCTACTCAGATCTAATATAATGGAAAATATTCTGCCACTTCAAATGTAATGAAAACATTTCTTAGGGAGAAAAAATACATTAATGTCTTGTGATCACAGTAGAGTAATTTTGTCATTCACCCAGAACCATTAAAATTTCCTTTACTTTAGAAATTTTAGTTACATTAAAACAATTAGCTATAATTAAAGTAAAGTTTTCCAGTTGATTACACAAAATATTTATCAATATCTTTATTTTATATTTCATTGTCTATATAACAGCATGTTTGCATGATGGTGCTTCCCACACAACTAGTCCTTGGTTCTTTGTTTAACCATGTCATTAGTTTATTGGTATATATTGTCAAGTTGTCTAAGGTTTTCATGGCAAAAATGGTAAAGGAATTATTTCAGCATTGATGATCGGTGAGAACTATAGTACCAATATGGAAAACAACTATTAGAAGTATCAACAAGGATATCACCGTCATCATGTATAGACTGATATCCATGTGCATGACAGCATGTCAACAACTGTCGGATTCATCTCACACAAGTCTCATGCTACCTACTTGCTTCAGCTGTATTTCCTTTCTATATAGAAAGCATCAGTCCTTGTGTTGGCAGTCCTGCCTACTGGTATTACTGATTTTATGCTCTAAAATACCAGTAGTTTCCATCCAAACCAAGGTTTCCATGACAACACATGCACTCTAAACACTTTTATTGGTGCACAATATATTGATTTTTATAAAATTTATAATAAACAGGATGAATATATTTTTGGTTATTAGATATTAGGGCAACACTAAAATGAAAAAGCAGTTTAGTTATCAAGGATTATTTTGGTCCTTAAATTAAAGGTTTAGTCACCTTCACGCGCCAAGTTAATATACAATGGAGTATGTTTTCTTTTGAAGATGTTTTAAATAAACATATTTTCAATAAAACACTTAGTTTAAATTCATTTACTGATTTAACAATAAAATTATGATACATGGTCTTAGCTCATAATTGCATGCTATTACAGATAAAGGTGAGCCACTGTCCTGCTCTTATATGTGAAAACTGTTTTCCTGAGAACCAGTAATATTCCTACCTGTATCCTGTCTGCTTGTATTACCTCCCATCTCCTGTATGTTGTCTCTACACACATCTATGTACCTTGTCACACAGACTTCGCTTAATGCATTCCACCACATGTAGTCTGCACTCTTCTTTTCAGCAATGTATTAATGACTTATAATTATGAAGTTATTTTGGTCACTTTTTATGAGTTGATGATAAATCCTAATTTGTAAGTTGGAGAAAAAAATAAATTGTTACAAATTCTGTTGTGTGACTATGTTGCCATGTACAGATTTGTTTATTAATTAAGCATCATCCTGTGTATGCTGTTGTTTAGTTCTAGTATCATGTATGATGAGTCTTATCTAGCCAGTGTAAAGACCACTCAGCTTCTTGATGCTATTCCAGGATCCTCGGTAATGATGGTATCGGTACATCTACAGCACTCAACCTTTCTAGGGTTATATCTCCATGTTGAATCAAGCTGAGGAGTGTTGCTTTGAGATAAACATGTTAGCTAACAAGACAAGTAATTATAATGTATCTGATCTGGTAACAACTATTTGATTGAATCAAACTGAAAGCAGTTCTAGTGTAAAGTTAATTTCACTTAGTGAAAAATATTGATTATATTTTTTTCAGATAAGGCCAGATCAATTTAATGTATTGGTTTATGGAATATTATTAATGATATGGTAGTCTTGAAATATTAATATATTTTCAGACATGATTCTATTCACTGTAATCATTCTAAATCCTTGTTGTAATGAATTGCTACACTACTATGATTGAAGAAATTGGTCTCATTCTAATTATCAAAATGTTTTACAATCATTTCTTGAATGCTTGCTGAAGAAGCTTCACAGAGTCCAATGAACAGATTGTCTTTTTTTTCAATCTTGATCTGCGCAATGTATGTGTAAGTCGAGAAGTTGTAAAGTAATGGCACAGAATCATGTTGTCTGACCAGTCAGTGTGTTTTCCTTACAGGATCCGGCAACAAAGGCCTTGCCACGATATCCTTGGGCCAAGGTCAAGGTCCTATTGCTGAGAAGATGATCAGTGAGGTAGTGAGGCAACGCCATGTTTGTCTGGGGTCACTGCAGTCACATACAAGTGTTCCTATTATTTTGCAGTTTGAAATTTATACAAATAAATTTGTCCAATGGTCCTATATATTTATTAAATGTATTTTTATAACTGACTGACAAAAACATTTAATAATAGAAACAAAATAACGTGAGTTTTGCCATGAAAAATATAGGGCTGACAGGAGATTTTGTCACCATGACAGAGAAGTTTGGTTTTGATTCCTTCGTAACTAGTTAGTATCGATGCTTAAGAGGGAACATTTTTTTATTGTATACCATCCAATATAAAATGAAATGCCTAGTGTCAAAAGAGCATAACTCTAAAATATATATTGTTTACAAGATTGTCAATTAGATCTAGACTAGCAGATTACACATTTCATGGCTGAGTAATTTACCATGTGAGCAACTTTTCCTCAGTGTTTGTGGCAGAAGTCTAGTAGTAAAAGCCTTTGCTTGTCACACCGAAAGCCCAGGACCAGTTCCCAGTATGGGTGCAGTGTGTATGTTCCAATGTGTGTCTGTGAGACAGTGTATGTTGTTTGTGAGTATATCAGGCAGTGTGAGCATATCAGCGGGACGTATTGGTCTGTCGCTGCAGAACTGTCACCTGGCTGGCCTCCTGGCTTGGGGAGCTGGAGAGGATCTGTGAGACAGTGAGTATATTTTGGTCTGTTTGTGAGTATATCAGGGAGTGTGAGTATGTGTTCTCGGAGCATATCAGGAGTGTTTGTGAGTATATCAGGGAGTGTTTGGGAGTGTTTGTATATATCAGGAGTGTTTGTGAGTATATCAGGGAGTGTTTGTGAGGGTTTGTGAGTATATCAGAGTCTTTGCTAATATATTAGAGAGTTTGTGAGTATATCAGGAGTTGTGAGTATATCAGCTTGTGTGGTAGTGTGTCATCATTTTGACAAATGGTACTAAATCTAAGTACATTTCTGCCACTTTACCTATTGTAGGTTATCACTGACCCCAGTAGAACTAAACCGACATTCCCGACTCTGGCTGACGAGCTACCCATCACCAGTCTTCCCAGTGTCCGCTCAAGATGACCAGAACGGGTCAAGCTATCCTCAGATCCCTCAATGAACCCCTGGCTTCTTCACCAACAAACCAAAGGTAAGACAACTGCAGAACATTTTACTTGCTCTTCACTCATGTGCCTGGCAGAAGCATAGAGCCTTTACCTGCAATGTTATCTATGCCCCCATCAAAACGTCAGACCTTGTTAGACTTTTAAGAGGTAATCTCTAATTATCTAACATCTCTAATCTATATATATAATTTACAGTATCTTTTGCTGGGAGACAAATCACAAAGGTACAGACAAGGTTCACTGTCACTAGAACATTTTTACCACCATTGGGGATATATACAAGTTCATGTGTGGTTCACTCATGTGCTGCCACTATATACAAGTTATGTGTGGTTCTGCACCTCCTTGTAGGGGAGCCTATAAGTTCATGTGTGGTTCTGCACCTCCTCTTGTATATACAAGTATGTTACCTCCTTGTAGGGGATATCAAATTATTACGTTATAATATGGATTATGATGGTTCTGCACCTCCTTTGGGATGATAGCATGTTAGACTTTTAAGACCTCCATGGGGGATAATACTCTCCATGTAGGGGATATATACTAATGTGTGGTTCTGCATCCATCTAATATATACAAGTTCATGTGTGGTTCTGACCTCCATGTAGGGTATATATACAAGTTCATCCACCTCCAGTATATATACAAGTTCATGTGTGGTTCTGCACCTCCATGTAGGGGATATATACAAGTTCATGTGTGGTTCTGCACCTCCATGTAGGGTATATATACAAGTTCATGTGTGGTTCTGCACCTCCATGTAGGTGTTTGAGAAGCTGCTGGTTCTTCGGGGTATATATACTGTGTTTCTTCCACTTGCTCTTCGTTCAGGAGAGACGGAAGTTTGGACCCCTTGGCTGGAACATACCATATGAGTTTAACGAATCAGATCTCCGTATCTCTGTGAGACAGCTGGAGGTAAGTCACAGTGCTGAACATGGCCAGTAAGACACATTTCATCAAGAGATATTCAGAAAGTTGAAGACACTGTATCAGGTCATAACATCGCAAGTCTTCACATGAGGTATTTCTGGGCCTCATAACCAAATACTTGTACCAGTATATGGTGTAACAAAATTAAACAATAAGTTCATTAAAGGGTTTATTCAAGTAAAAATTGGATAAAACAACACACAGACTTGTAAAACTAATTATGTTAAACTTTGCTTTTATTTATTTGTTTTCAGACTGTATATCTCACTATGCTAGAGTACTGAGCCATGGAGTCTTTACCCCTGGACACATGCTCTGGCCCCGCAAAACTTAAATCAACCCACAACAAATATGAGCTGTTTGTGTTTACTTGTTGTAGATGTTTATTAGCGACTACGAGGAGCCCCCCCTCGAGGCCCTCACCTACTTGACAGGGGAGTGCAACTATGGTGGGCGTGTCACTGACGACCAGGACAGACGCCTCATCATCAGCATCCTGGAGATCTTCTACTGCATTGAGGTCATCGATGATGACAGCTACTGCTTCTCCTCTAGCGACCTGTACTACGCGCCCCCCAAGGGCAGCTATGAGAGCTATGTGGAGTATATCCGGAGCCTGCCCCTCATCCCTCACCCAGAGGTCAGTTGGGTGTTTTGTCCTGTTAGAGTTCTGTAACCTTTCTTGTAACTGGATCGAGTGGTCAGGTTTGGTGACTTGGTTGATTAGGTGTCATCATGTGAGCATGCCAGCCAGTGTTCTGTCTTTGTGTCTTGAACTCAGTTAATGATTAGTTCAGAGATTTGACAATTTGGTCAGCAATGATGGTGTTGTGGTCAGAGAATATCAATTTACCTGGTCTTCCTTGTTTGCAGGTGTTTGGTCTACATGAGAATGCAGACATCTCCAAAGATCAACATGAAACACATCAGATGTTTGAAGGGATTCTCCTCACCCTCCCAAGACAGGTAGGCGGCCATCTTTAAACTAACATCATGCTTCCCTGATCACTAAACACAACTTTTTACTACCAAATCTAAATAACTTTTTTTTAAAACAAAGCATATGAAAAACACATTTCAGTGTTTAAGCATATTGACACCTTAAAAGCATACTTTATTCCTGACAAGAACAATAAGTGAATCAGAGTGTTTTACTTTCCAAATCATATAGGGCAGTATAATAATTTTGAATCATATTATTTATTATTACTAAATGGACAAAAAGTTATTTCTAAGTAACTACTTGTGTGACTGTTTCTTCAGATGAAGGTAATTACAAATCAGTATTAGGACATTTTATTTTCCTATTATTAGTGAAATAGAAAACCAGTTATTATTGTATAAATTTGTGCACATACATGTAACCAAGACGGCTCCAGGTGTGGTCATAACGACTGTGTTTTATCATTTGTTGGCTCGTATCAGGATGAGGTACAACTGATGTTAGATAGAAACTCTCTTCATCTCACTGTTCAAAGTGGTGTTCAAACTCAATTCACTCACTCACTTTTCATCTCAATATCAACCCATTAGTTTGTATTTAATTCTTTTTCTCAACAGTGCAACAATGTCTGTGTGTCTAACTCTTCATGTTGTTTCCTGATCTTCTAACAACTATTAATGTTTCATATTCTGCAGTGTTGCATGTGTTCTGGTGTACTGTACTAACCACTCTGTCACGCACTTGCTGTACAAACACTGAAGGACAGAGGGACACCAGTGTTGTATGTGTTCTGGTGTACTGTACTAACCACTCTGTCACGCACTTGCTGCACAAACACTGAAGGACAGAGGGACACCAGTGTTGTATAAATGCCAGTAACTCTGGTACCTAGGGAAATACCTTGACTGTTCCATATATGTCCCCATTGTGAGATTCCAGATGATACGAATGCTCCGTGTCTTTATGTATGTCCTCCAACACTGAGATTGTGGATCGGAACTGATCCTCAGTTGCTGATGTGTGTTTCCCACTGAGGAAAAGAAAATGCGTGTGAGAGCCAATGTTTTAGCGTGTGTCCAGTAATGATAAAGAAATATGATAGCTTCTTTCTGAAATCTCTCACATCACCCAGTTCAAGTTTTTGTGGCTACATTGATGATGCGTCCAAAATCTTAGTTGTAAATGCAAAAGTCTATTCCACAAAGAGATTCGGAAACAGTCACCCACTGTAATTAGAGGTACTGAAGGGACACTGGAAGATCAATTGTTCATTCGTACTGATGTTGATGTTTGCCAGACATCAGGGGGAGGAAACTCAGCCCAGGAGATCATTGAGGACCTTGCAAGTGACATCCTGTCCAAGATACCACCCGACTTCAACCTGGAGGACGTGCAGGTGTGTATATTGGTTATAATAGCCAATGTGCTATATTGGTTATAATAACCGATGTGCAGGTGTGTATAAAGGTTATAATACCCAATGTGCAGGTGTGTATACAGTTTATAATACCCAATGTGCAGGTGTGTATACAGGTTATAATACCCAATGTGCAGGTGTGTATACTGTTTGACATAATTACTGTGTAGGTGTTCATGATTTAGCAGTTTGGGTCACAAATAGAATTGTATTTGGTTTCAGATTTAACAGTTAGAAAAGGATAATAGTGTACAAAAAAGACATCTTTACATATTTCTGCTTTTGAAATGTTTCTGTTATTTGTGTTTTGTGGTAAGTAGGAAGGCGTTTCCTATCCTCGCGGTACTTACGGATATCGGCTGAAAAAATAACACAAACAATTCTTATCGTATGAATGCTTGTTGTTTTTAAATAAAGGGCCTTCTCCTCTAACAACTACATCTATCAGCTGCTAGATCCATCAGGTGAATTACCACTCGTTAGCCCGGTGATAAACAATACCATCCACCATTGACGAAACAAGGCTTCTCCCATTCTAGCGGTATTACCAGGAATTAACGCTAATGAGTGTATGTAAGAGCAATCCTTCTGGAAAGGGTGGGAAAAAGTAATGATATGTCCAAGTTGGTATAAACTCCCCAATATTCGTGACACTGCAAGATTTTGATCACTCACAGACTTGGTCCACTTCCTAGTTACCAGTCGGTGATCTAAACAACCATTAAGTGTCCGGGCATCGGCGATTTCGGCAGAAAACGTGTTTACTGCGAGAATAGGAAACCCGCGAGAATAGGAGATGGACCTATACTACTGGAAATTGCGGGACTCGGGTGTCACCAATGAAACAGCTTTTACATCAACCTCTGTAAGATTGGCAATGACCAAGTTTCTCTGAGAGACACAGTGTGATGAGTTTCCCGTCTTCTCCTAGAACAAATACCCTGTGCGCTACGGAGTCCATGAACACAGTCCTGGTGCAGGAGCTGATCCGCTTCAACCGCCTCATCAGGGTGGTGAGGCAGAGCCTGCAGGACATCCGCAAGGCCATCAAGGGGATGGTGGTGATGTCGGCCGAGCTGGAGGATGTGTTTGATAGCATGATGGTAGGGAAGGTACCCGGCATGTGGGCCGCCAAGTCCTACCCTTCACTGAAGCCCCTGGGCAGCTACATCACAGATCTTCTGGCTAGGCTTCAGTTCTTTAAGGTAAATCATGGTCTCTCTTGTCAGAATGTCTGTCAATAAGTCTTCAGAGCAGTCAGCTGGCAGGCAACTCTGTGACAATATTAGGCATTCAACACAGCACCAATTAGTGTACAGCACATAATTCACTCTGCAGAATTATGCCCCCTTCACATCGCAGGATGCTCTGATCACAGGACACATTTGTGATTGATTACAAGAACTGATTATTAAGTACTTGATTGAGTGAGGTACTGTACTGGAACCAGTTGTTTCTAACTTTGATGACAACATCCTTATATCAATGGGTCATTAACATGCTGGAAACAAACATGCCTAATAGGTAATATGAGCTAAATACAATGATAAACTATGTTTACCATACGTTTGATTTGAAAGAATTCCATACTACTTGCCAGATGACAGGAAGGAGAAAGTACTAATTGATACATTGGAATGGTGGGAGAATTAGTAAGAATGCCATTAATCACTGGCAACATATGGAAATCATAAAGGTTTCATTAATGATGGTTGAATGATGGCTTTGTACAACCCAATTGAATATCACCATAAACTAATGAAACATTTTAAATATATTTAACTATGATGTATTGTGGACCCATTAGCTACTGGTACAGACTGGTGGTGATCCCACTTGCACAAAGCAATCTTAACTATGACAGTTATTATGTCAACTGTAACATAGACTTATGATCATTGTTACGCTAAGATGGCCTGTGTATGTTTATATATACCTGGCTGCTGTCAACCACTTGTCTGTGGTGCTGGAACTCAAATATATCAAACAAGCTGTATTTATATGTTACAATGTGTTCCAGGACTGGATATTCAGTGGCATACCAACCGTGTTCTGGATCTCAGGGTTCTACTTCACTCAATCCTTCCTCACTGGTGTGCTGCAAAACTATGCCCGACGCTACAAGATACCCATCGACCATCTTGGATTTGAGTTTGAAGTCACCACTCATGAGAATCTCATCCAAGCAAAACCAGTAAGATCTGTTCTGAACGTGTGAAGAAAACATATATTTGGAACGGATTCAATCGTTCTTCAGGGAGGTAGTACAATGACTGCAGCATCATGCCAAAGACGTGGGTTCTTGTCCTGCCAGAACCATGTATGATGTGAGAGTACTATGGAGTCTCTTTGTGGAGAACATGTGTTAACAGAAGCTTGTTTGTCTGTACTCAGCAGTAATCCAGAGGCTGCCTGTAAAGAACATTATCTGGACTAGACAATCCAGTGATTGATATTGTGACCAATTAAGTGACTGAGCATGACAAAGTGATCCATTATGTCACCTCTGACAACCAGCATAGGTTGGGGGACCAATCCCAACAGTGTACAGTGAAATGAAATAGCTGGTTCTGTTTATGAGTAGGATTGTGAAAATACATGAGACAACATGTATCTTAACACTAAAGTCGGTATACATGATACAACATGTATCTTGACACCAAAGTCGCTGTTCACGATACAACATGTATCTTGACACTAAAGTCGGTATACATGATACAACATGTATCTTGACACCAAAGTCGCTGTTCACGATACAACATGTATCTTGACACCAAAGTCGCTGTACACGATACAACATGTATCTTGACACCAAAGTCGCTGTTCACGATACAACATGTATCTTGACACTAAAGTCGCTGTTCACGATACAACATGTATCTTGACACCAAAGTCGCTGTTCACGATACAACATGTATCTTGACACCAAAGTCGCTGTTCACGATACAACATGTATCTTGACACTAAAGTCGCTGTACATGATACAACATGTATCTTGACACTAAAGTCGCTGTTCACGATACAACATGTATCTTGACACCAAAGTCGCTGTACACTATACAACATGTATCTTGACACTAAAGTCACTGTACATGATACAACATGTATCTTGACACTAAAGTCACTGTACACTATACAACATGTATCTTGACACTAAAGTCGCTGTACACGATACAACATGTATCTTGACACTAAAGTCGGTATACATGATACAACATGTATCTTGACACTAAAGTCGCTGTACATGATACAACATGTATCTTGGCACTAAAGTCACTGTACATGATACAACATGTATCTTGACACTAAAGTCGCTGTACGCTATACAACATGTATCTTGACACTAAAGTCACTGTACATGATACAACATGTATCTTGACACTAAAGTCACTGTACACTATACAACATGTATCTTGACACTAAAGTCGCTGTACACGATACAACATGTATCTTGACACTAAAGTCACTGTACACGATACAACATGTATCTTGACACTAAAGTCGCTGTACATGATACAACATGTATCTTGACACTAAAGTCACTGTACACTATACAACATGTATCTTGACACTAAAGTCACTGTACACTATACTTTGACATGTATCTTGACACTAAAGTCGCTGTACACGATACAACATGTATCTTGACACTAAAGTTACTGTACACGATACAACATGTATCTTGACACTAAAGTTGGTATACATACTATCATACAAAATGTATCTTGACACTAAAGTCGCTGTACACGATACAACATGTATCTTGACACCAAAGTCGCTGTACACAATACAACATGTATCTTGACACTAAAGTCGCTGTACACGATACAACATGTATCTTGACACTAAAGTCGCTGTACACGATACAACTTGTATCTTGACACTAAAGTTGCTGTACACGATACAACATGTATCTTGACACTAAAGTTGCTGTACATGATACAACATGTATCTTGACACTAAAGTTGCTGTACACGATACAACATATCTTGACATTAAAGTCGGTATACATGATACAACATGTATCTTGCCACTAAAGTTGGTATACATACCATGATACAATATGTATCTTGCAAGTAAGGCTGCAGTACAATGCATGATCATTTTTGTTTTAGGTATGTAACATGATTGGTACCAATACTAGACCTTATCATACCTAAGTGTGGAATATAGCATAGATGTGGACCCAAAGCCTGTTTGAAGTCATTACCGATCTCTTCACACAGAGGGATATACTCTTGTGTTGTGTACATAGCATTAATGTTTCAGAAAAACGGTGCCTACATAGATGTGGACCCAAAGCCTGTTTGAAGTCATTACCGATCGCTTCATACAGAGTGATATACTCTTGTGTTGTGTACATAGCATTAATGTTTCAGAAAAACGGTGCCTACATCAAGGGTTTGTTCATGGAAGGAGCTCGATGGTGTCGACAGACACGAGTGATAGCAGAGTCACAGCCCAAGATCCTGTATGACCCCACACCAATTGTATCCTTCTAATGTGTGTTGACTGCAGAACGGTTGTTGGTTACTGTGGGTGAGGGGAATGAGGGGAGGGTCACCGTGAGGGTCACACTGATTGTATTCCTGGGGACCAGCCAATTGTCAGCTTCACCAGGGTAAACTTGCTAAATATTTACCTTGCTTCACTGTTTACCTATTTTATTTGGGTGTAACTTACATAAAAGTCCTCTTTGGATCAGTAAAGTAAGTACACTGATTTGAAATAAGCATGTAACAAATGAGGTAATGAATACCTACAGCTTGTTCAGCTTAACCTGATCAAGTGCATACTAATTTTTTTGCGTGACCGGACCGTGTCACAACAGGTTGGGTCTATTATTGTGAAGGGGTGCACCTCTGTCAGTTAATTGTAAACATGTCCGAACAGCCCAGACAAGGTCATTAACATTCTCTGCTCCCCTATTTAACGAGGTTAACTCGACATGCCGTTTGTGACATTTGACCTCCTGGGTCATGCATATGTAGAGTAGCTCAGGTCAAGCTGAACAAGCTGTATATGCTGTACTAGCTATATTTTATGTACTGTACATCACAGTTGAATTCCTTAAGTGATTCAGATCTGGTTAAAGCCAGGAGAGAAGTCCCAGTTTGCAGATGAACTAACATATTCCTGTCCTGGTGAGTGGTGGCCTAGCGCAGTGGTGGCTGATAACATCTCATCTAGTTCTCGAAACATAACCTTCAATGTTTGGAATACAAAACCAAAAATCTGTGTCCGTTACTTGATCAATCAGTGTAGGGTTAGTATACTTTCAAAAAGTATTTCAATGTTAACATCAGAAAATATGCATCAATACAATATTGCTCATCATCAATTTGAAAAAAACACATCAGAAATAGAAAAAGACATTCTGAGACCTAACTTTCCATCCTGTTCATGGCTGCACAATCATGTCTAGAAGGTGTTATATTTCATTGCTTCATGAAATCCACAACCTTGAGAAATTCTGTCATACTGCACATCTTTTGATAAAGATAAACATTTCAAGCAGATTTGGACCAGAAACTTCAAAATAATAAGAAATGAGTTTGGTGTATCAGAGTCATAGGACATGGAGAAATATATACCTTTACATCAGTGGATGAGACTGTCCTGAACACATCTGTCATACACATTTCATAGAGAGATTATCAGAAATAAGTTTGGTGAACTAGGTATATTTCTTGTTCATTCCTTTACACTGTACCACACATTTTTCCTAGTGTGCAGTGCAACTTCCACTCACTTAAAAAAAAGGTGGTTAAAGTGTTGGCTCGTCAAGCTGAAGACCCGGGTTTGATTCCGCACATGGGTACAATGTGTGAAGCCCATTTGTAGTGTTCCAACTGATATTCCCAGAATATTGCTAAAGGTGGCCTAGAACCATACTTACTCACTCAATTAAAACCATGGCTTTGGATTTAGAAAACCTCAGCACTATGAGTGAGTGAGTTTAGTTGTGCACCGTACTCAGCAATATTCCAGCTATATGGCGGCGGTCTGTAAATAATCAGACAATCCAGGAATCAACAGCATGAACATCAATCTATGCAATTGGGATATGATGACATGTGTCAACCCAGAGAGCAAGCCTGACCACCCGATCCCGTTAGTTGCCTCTTACGACAAGCATGGGTTACTGAAGATCAATTCCAACCCGGATCTTCACGGGTTCAGCACTATGAGAATCATACCACCCATATTCAGATTAATTACAAAGTTATGGCAGTAAGATGGTTTTGTAGAACAGTTTCATGGATCACAGGGAACTGGAATTGTAGGACATTACAAATGATGTGTCTGATTCCAGTGTACAAGACTAGCGCCAGGCGTGGGGTGCTGTCCACTACCGGTCATTCCACCAACTACGTATTGACCATCCAGCTGGCCACAGACAAACCAGAGAGTCACTGGATCAACAGGGGGGTAGCCTTGCTGTGTCAGCTTGACGACTAGCTATGTACTGAACATACAGAGTCACTGGATCAACAGGAGGATGTCACCCGACGATTATCTATGTACTGAATATCCTCAGCAGGGTATAGTGCTCGATGCCGCAACAGAAGCTTTTTCAAATGTTCTCTGGAAATCCTGAAGCATCATCTTGCTGGAACCACAATGATGGCGACCCCTCCCAGTATGGACACAGCAGACTACTGCAAGAGACTAAAGTGCTGGAAGTGTAACAGGCTACCAACTCCTGCACCACAGGCTTGTGTGATGCTTAATGTGCTAACCTCAGGACTAAATCTAGCTGCTGACGTACAGGGGACATCTTGCTCAACCAAAGGTTATTTACAGCAGCCATTTTGGATTCTTTCAGGGCCATTTTGTGGGCTCTCAGCATGTGGTGTTTCCTCCACCCAGTCAGCTGCCTTATGGCCAAGTTGCAGTTTCTTGGAGAGTAGCATCACAAGGATTCACGTTGTGGAATGGATGTATATTGTATGTTTAGTTACTGTTGAAAATGTTCATGAAATACCTTGTGACTATAAATATGAAAATGATATTATTTCCAATTAATACTGCAGGAAATATAAAGGTTATGTTTATGACAGAATACATGGACAGAGGAAGGTAGTATTATGTAATTACTATGTCAAATGAATACTGCAAGAAGTATTATGTAATTATTTGAATACTGGAGTATTATCCTATGTCAAATGAGTACTACAAGATGCAATTTGTAAATTGTTTTCAGTAAATACTGAGTTGTTATGTACATATAATGTTAAATTATTATTCCAACACATAATGTACATATTGGCAAGTTGATGCTGCAAGAGGTATGTATTTATTATGCCAAAGTCATACTGCAAGGAGTATTCTGGTATCCATGGTTTGTGCTGACAATTTTACACAACTCTTGATTAAGTATATATGTTGTCATTTCATTTTAATGACACTTTTATTAGATTTTACACTGTTATGTTAGTTATGATGATATTTTTTGTTATGCCACATCTTTGTAAACATAATGATCCCCTACAGGCATTATGAAGTATATTGTAGTGACCTGCTCGCCACCGTGGGGACCTGATTCAGGCATTATGAAGTATATTGTAGTGACCTGCTCGCCACCGTGGGGACCTGAATTCAGGCATTATGAAGTATATTGTAGTGACCTGCTCGCCACCGTGGGGACCTGATTCAGGCATTATGAAGTATATTGTAGTGACCTGCTCGCCACCGTGGGGACCTGAATCAGGCATTATGAAGTATATTGTAGTGACCTGCTCGCCACCGTGGGGACCTGCTCATCAGGGGGACATTATTATAAGAAGTATATTGTAGTGACCTGCTCACCACCGTGGGGACCTGAATCAGGCATTATGAAGTATATTGTAGTGACCTGCTCGCCACCGTGGGGACCTGAATCAGGCATTATGAAGTATATTGTAGTGACCTGCTTGCCACCGTGGGGACCTGATTCAGGCATTATGAAGTATATTGTAGTGACCTGCTTGCCACCGTGGGGACCTGAATCAGGCATTATGAAAGTATATTGTAGTGACCTGCTTTGCGCCACCGTACCTGAATCAGTAATATATTGTAGTGACCTGCTTGCCACCGTGGGGACCTGATTCAGAGCATTATGTGCTGCTCAGGTGGGGACCATGAATCATCTCCAAGAGAAGGTCCATAGTGCTCATAAGGATTCTGCTAACTTTGTATGTTGTACTGTCTTTGAATGAAATAAGAGATAATGAAATAATGAGACAATGGAGTATGGGAAAAAGAGCTTTTGATGTATTCATGTTTTAAACAGAACATAGAGAGTAACCAATACGCCATAAGGAATTACGGTTTATCTGTCCTAAGTGAATGATTAGTGTCAGTCCTGTGTTTTTGGTGATGGACGTATGGTATTTATTGATAAGGGACAGAATACTGGTAGTTTTGAGTTTTGATTAGTTTGTTCTATGTCACAGACGTTTAAAGATAAACAATGAAGCAAAGAATGTATGAAATGTCTTACTTCAGAGGGCAGCCTAATGTTCACATGAGAAGATGACAAGTTGTGATGTCATGAACAGAGGCTGTATGAAATGTTGACCCCTTACTTCACAGAGGGCCTTGTTCAACATGAGAAGAAGACAAGAGGTGATGTCATGCCCCTTGTTCACAGAGGGCAGCCTATTGTTCACAAGACATGTTGTGATGTCATGAACAGCCTATTGTCATATTGAAGACAAATTGTCAACAATGAGAGGCTAAACAGCTTCAGTTGTCAACAAGCACTGGGAATCACTAAATGTGAACTTATCACTAAATGTGAAACTTATCCAAAGGTTATTACACACCATCATTCTATCCTTATGACATATAATATAGGCTTCATATGATACAAGATTTAGGTCAATAAATGATTCTTCCTTTACTCATATAAGCTGACAGGAAGCACAGTATTTACAACACAGAACAAGGGGGTGTTGTCCCATTCAGTATTACATTATAAAACCCTGTCTACTGCTGACCCAAGTCCTATGTTCCCATCATACAGTGAAACCCTGTTATTCTGGATGGAACTCCAAAATATTAACAAGTGTTCCAGAATAACAATTCATGGTTACAGTGTATTATTCCTATGTAAATATATATGTTGAGTTTCCATAGTAACAGGGTATGGAATAAGGGTGTTTTGTTTTATCAAGATTTGCAAATGTTAATTAGTAGGAAAAGCTTTCCTTTAGCATATTATGATCTTACCGTCCACTGGTATATAATTTTGGTTATGTCATATATGTGTAGTCACCAACTGTTTTATGTGATCTATATATCTCCCAGCACAGGTGATTGTACACCTAGCAGGTGAGACGAAACCTCACTGATGTTTTTCAAAATATTTTTCAGTAAAGCTAAACTGAAATTCTGATATTTGTCAGTGTTGGAAAGGGAATGTAATGGATCTTATTAGTACCACAGGTGTTACAATAATAATCAAAAATTATCACTGACAGTTAAAAAACAAATAGATTCTGTTAGCAAGATATAAAAAGTCCATGATTAATCAAATACCAAATGTACTACCTCATATTTTCGGTGAATTTTGATATTCATTAATGATTTCACACAAAAAACGCATTACAAAATCTTTTCTAATATTGTTTGTTTCATTTCATAATTTCTTCAACACAAAGATGCTTCTTTTATGTCCTGTTTTCTTTCGTGGATTATAACATAAACCTTTGTGCGCATGCATTCATTTCTTTTCATTCATGTGATTCTTGTAATATTCAAATGTTGTTTCGCAGGGTGGTTGGACTCGAGTTACATAGTAAATAAATAACTGTAAATATATTTATGAATGTTACATGTACTGAAATGTACAGATTTCAGTTTCAACCAGGTATCAAGATATTTCACAGTCAACAAGTGCTGGATCTAAAAACTTCACAGTATGAACCATTATAAGAAACCAGCTTCTATATAAAACTTGCCTAATGGGCCCCTGAGGTGGCTCAGTAGATAAAGCACTTACCATCCTGAAGCCCTGGGTTGATGCCACTGTAGTTATTATTGGTGACCCCTTTTGGGGTATTCCCTGTTATGAAGTAAAATCTCACTTACTGTTTGTGGTAAATTATTTATCTATTGTTAGCATGTAAATATATGTCTGTTATATAGTACCCATTCTTTCTATGTCAAGCTTTGATAGACATGATAAACCTTGGTCATTGACTTATGTAGACCAGTAAATGCAGTATAATGTATTGATGAATCCTATCTGCTCCACCTATAGTTAATAAGACGCATTGCTTCATCAGTATTTGTTCCATTGCTTGTATTAGGTAAAGCAGTCTTTGTGCTGATTCAGCAATATATGTGCCTTTACGCATTTGTTAAGTCTACTCACAAATATAAACATTTGTGTACATATGTATCATAGTCATTTCATGCCACACAACAAATACCATGTAAATATATACTGCCCTGTGTATCTGTTCTCGGTACACTGGAGGGCCGAGATGCAGGGCCGAGATGCTGGATGCAGGGGATGTCCACACCTCTTTACCAGACACAACAAACGTCCACTGTACCCTTGGTCAAGTCACTTTATACTTGTATATATTATGTAATTCCCTGTATTCAAAACCCTGGATCCACATCTGTGATTTTCACACATATGAGTATTGAAAGTGCTTTGCTTAGTGCATTATGTTCTCAGTATATCTAGGTTCAGCTTAGAAATACAATACCTTATCATTCAAATTGTTGTATGCAACAAGACAACATGATATAATCTGTGTATCATGATTGAACCTTCCTGTTGTTCAAGTATTTACCAAACTGTTTAGACATAATATATAGAATGTTTCTTGTTAAAATATTAATGGATGAACAGTAGATATATACAGAATATCCAAGTGTCCTCTTAGCAAGTATATCAGTACAAGTAAAGAGAATTTGTTGAATTTTATCAACTAGTGATCTCACCCAAGTGATCTCTCCTGCAGAAACAAGTTTGGGAGATAATTATCAGTGTACAAACTGACCAACCCAAATATTTTGGGTCTTCCAAATTAGTTTTTCTCAAAGTTTTAATAAATGTCATCAAACAGATAAATATTGATGATGCAGCAGAAGGTGAAACATGAGCAGCTGCACTGTATAATGTTCAGTATTTCCATATGACAGTGACTCAACACTGCACTATTTCAACTGTATGGGTACTGTTCAATAAGGGAGATAACTCCTTTGTATTTACCCAAGGCATAATCTTAGACTATAGTGAACCCGAAGACTAACTACAATCATTGCTGGGCGCTAGTTTCAAGTAGTGATAGAACAATTATTACACAAGAACATTAGCTAATACCTGAGACTGCTGTAAGATGTAGTGAAATATGTACATAGGTACTCGGTAGTATGTTTTATTTACATAGGATCACTGTCTGATTGTATATCGTCTCACTCAGGACTAACTGATCTGTGATAACGCTGCTGTGATCTGTGACTGCATGTGATAAATAATGTGATCATCATTGGATGTTTGTATAAACATGTGATAACCATTGATATCACAAACAGTGATACTGTTGTATGTTTGTATCTATGTGATAACCAATCATGTCTCTACGCAATATTCATGTTGCTCTTGAAACAAGTTTTGTTACTGTCAATCATTTACACTTGCAATAAAATCTTTTTCTATGCATTTAGTTTTTGCGTCTTTCTAGTTATGAACTACAATTTTAGTATTATATATTTAATAAATGTGACCTGTGAAGATCCGGTTAAGAACTGGTCTTCAGCAACCAATGCTTGTTGAAAGAGGCTGACTAATGGGATTGGGTGGTCTGGCTCTCTGACTTGGTTGACACATGTCATCATATCTCAATTGTGCTCATGTTGTTGATCACTGGATTGTCTGGTTCAGATTCAAATATTTACAGACCACTGACATATAGCTGGAATATTGCTGAGTGTGGCATTAAACAACAAACAAATAACATATTAATGTTTGTGTAAACAACGTGAAAAGAAATATATCACTCTATTATTGTTTAATTTTAGGTAGGGCCTAAAACACGATCAGTGTTATTAAGAACATACATTACATACTTTAACACAGACTTATGACAGCTGTAATGCTACGATCAGTTTGTGGAAAAGCTTGCTTGGTATACAGTCTCTTTTCACTGAGAAACATATTTTTCTTAAAAATCAAATTGCAATATATATATTTTGTGTGTGATTAAATACAAGAAGCCTCCATTCTTATAATGTGATGAAGAAACAGCTTAGTAAAATGCAATGCCTCTCAAGAAACAGCTTGTGTTGAGGTTGAATTGCCAGTCCAAGAGTTACCTCCCTTCCACCACTGACCACCCTTTAAGGTCAACTTGGTAGGGAGAAAACAGATGTTCTAGAATGTGTAAGATTATTCAAAACTCACCTGTTCTGCAAAATTCTCTGCCATGTTGTGTTCTTATAACCTGAGGTGGATTGTCAGTAGTATGACAAGCTGTGTATCACACAGTACTAAGACCACTGTCAATGTAAGAGTATTGTTTTTAAAATATAGAATCCTAATTTTACAGCTGGAGAGGCTGAATGAGTTATAATTTATGATCTCGGTGGCATTATTTTAGCCATCCAGTGACAACTGAGAAGGAAGAGGGATAGTGGGAATATGATGGATAAACTCCATACCTTACAACCTCGCATTTTAACAGGTTTAAACCACATACTGATCAAATGTTTAAAATATATTTCTACAAGTAAATGTGCTAAGTTCTAGGCATCTGCATTAAATGAGCAGTTTTTTTATTGGATTCAATATTTATGACAATACATGGCTGTCATCACTGATCAAGGTAACTATGCAGTCCAAGTATATCAATGAACATCGCAGTGCTGAACGAAACGGAGCCTGATACAGAATGGGAATAAATTCTTATTGGGAATGATACTTATTGTCCTATCCTTGGCAATTTGGCTTTCAGCTAACAGATCATGACTTTATCACTGTTGTTTGAGTAATGCAGAAATACACAAACTAAATGAAAATGTCAAATGCACCTTCTTCAAACAAAAAAACGTCCAAATTGATATATATTTTGATATATGTTTATTTTTCTGTATAAGCAGAGATGTGACGATTGTGATGTGGAGATGATGACAACACATGTAACAAATGAATCTGTCTATCAATGTCACCCATTACTGACTTGCATAATCCACAACACGAACCTTCACTGGACAATGTACAGATACATACAACATGCACTTCAAATGTCAAAGCAGAGATTGGGTTCCTGGTATTCATGTTATCCAATCTGAGACAACAAGTCTGTGATTCTATGCCAGGAACAGTAATGCTGTTGCCGACCCCCTTTTGGAACACGGAATTTGGGGGTTCTATTTGGGTCTCAGCAATGTGCTACTCAGGATGCAATTGTTTTTGGCATGCAGATTCCTTATGTAAATACAATAACTGTAGACACAAAGAACTCTTCCTACATATTTTACGTTTTTTTATGTGTTTTAAGCAGTATTTAGTGTTCAGCAAGACTCAAGGTATACATTAGATGTTATTCAGAATTCATGGGAGGGGGTTCGCACCTTTAGTATGGATATTGGCATCGAACAAATGACCTATAGAAATAATATTTTAGCCCCAATAATCCCTCAGCGCATAATTTGAGATTTCAGCTACAATTTCTTGCCCAGTCAAGGCACAAGGGTACAGGTCCTTAAGACAAGGGTACAAGTAATACTGCTCAGACTAATATGAACACACTTCGGTCTTACTTTGAGAGCCAGCGTATTGGCTATATAATGTCCGAATTCTGATGTGAGGGTGGATGATTCCTCCACTTCACTAACGATGTTAACAAGTGGCAAGTGGAGGTAGTCATGTGGCAAGATTTTAATACATACTAAACTCCAGAAACTAATTTTGTAATAAACCTTTGAATCAATAGATTGTTCGGCTTAGTCTATTAGCAGAAACACCTCTTGTAGCTAGTAGAGACAAAGTGTGTATAACAAGACAATGTCGGTGTGATGTCAAGTATCAACATCATATTTTATCCTCCGGGGTGGCTCTGTTTCCGTCAGTGATCGCCCTGAATGAGTGAGTGAGTGTAGCTTTATGCCGCTTCTAGCAATATTTCAGCAATATCACGGCGGGGGACACCACAGATGGGCTTCACACATTGTACTGATCACCCTGAAGCAGGAAGTTTCTCTGCATATTTAACAGTAGTCAAACACAAAAATGTGATGACATGATCCTAAACATACACTGTAGTGAAAAACCAGTGTAATGTATAAGATATTTTGCAACAGATTAATACATCATAATTCAAAATCTGTCCAATATGACACAGCTCTATCAATTTACAGTTTTAGCTGAAGTATTAAAACTAAAGGCATGAGGAAGACAGAGACACAATAGTTGATTACCTCCCTTAGCAACACTGTAGAACAACAGGAAGGACAAGCTACATGCATTAAGCACTGAACTGTACCTGCTATTTGAACCAGAGCCTTGAGCTTCACTGATGAATCAATGAAAACTGGGCATCCTTACCACCCTCATGTAAGAGTGATCGTGTTTCTTGCCACACTCGGTAATATTCAAGCCTTATGGTATGTAATTGAATCTAGGACAGGAAAACCGGTGGTTGATGAATCTCTTAGGATGAATCTGGTTGAGGGATAATGAAGCACTGAGTGACACCCCCCACCCCCAGAGAATGTGATGAATAATGGCATTGCACAACATCATCATTTTATCACTGGATATCAGGATGTAGTAAAGCTCTCTTTCAGCACCAAATATTTCCTCTCTCACTGTCCTGTTTTGCCCAGTATTCAGGCAGATAATGCTGCAGAAGGACGAGGCACATCGTTCATCTCCTGCGTCTTGTGCGAGCTCGTCTCCGCTTATCATTACGGGAAAGGGGCTTGGGTTGTAGGCGCCCGATGTTGGATCCCTGACGCTTCTTGACATTAACATTCTGTTCGACCAGATTGGCTAGATGACCCTGTTCTGCCAGCATCGACAGGAACGTCATCAGAAACTGATCATAGTTATGGGTGCGGCGGCAGTCATCAATCTGGATGGGGAAAGACAGTTTCATGGCAGATAGAATCAATTGGACTGAGTGAGTTGGATATCCAGCTAAGTATATAATACCACCTTTAAGATCAGATATGTCAATGTATGTCAGGTAGGTCTTGAATAGGACTGGATTAGTTATGACTTGACGATTAATCAGTGATGACTCCAATATTTAGCTCATAATGTACATCAGGATAATGGAAGCATGAAATTAATCTGAAAATTGCAGGTGTCGATATTTTATAGAGAATTTACTGGTGATAACTGACATACAGGAACTGATACAAGGCCAGGGACACTTGAGATACAACTTACCTTGTACTTCTTCCGTTTCTCATTCTCATCCTTGAGGTTGGCCTCACATGTCTCGATCTCATTCTCCACATTCTTTAGAAGGTCCAGCAGATCCTGTCAACATGAGTGAGTGTGTGAGTGAGTGAGTGAGATAGTGAGATAGTCAGTGAGTGAGTGAGACCTTAATGTGACAAGAGAGCCTGCTGCGAAGCAAGCCTCCGAGCAAGGCCCATGAGCACAGATATAATGCTGATAGACCTAAAAACTTAATCAGAGAGAATGACGATTCGTATCCATGACCATAGGTTTAGTGTCATGCCCAAGGGGCAGAGAATGTGACACTAGAGACCATATAATAGATATAATTATATGGTCTCTGGTGACCTTACACAACAGGGCCCTTATTCTTGAAACATTTGTAGCCCTAAGAATTCTTAGCTTTGACCATAGCCAATGTGTTAAGAATGGGTTTAAGAAGTTCATATGGCTACGAGGATAGAATAGCTACATAGAATAGCTAGCCTGGGCCATCCCTGCCCTCCTGGTCTACATGAAGACATGCTGTGTAACAGCACTATCCATGAATGAAACTGTAGATAATGGCAAAGAAAAGTGAAATGAAATCAATAATACAAAATGACCATGTCCATGTGACACTCTACTACCTTGGGAGAAAACCCTTGTGAGCTGCTGAAACGATGTTTTGACTTGGACTTGATCTCCGACCCATCTGACCTTGACCCAAGAGTCTCGTCTCCTTCTAGCTTCATTTCACCTAGAGAATAACACAGATGTACTATATACAGTTCTGGACAACTCATCATGTACTAGTCCAATCACAGCTATTATTTATGGTAAGAACGTAAAGTTTCCACTAGTGAATCAATCCTGTGAAGGTTACACATGAAGGACATGACAAATGTTGGAGACTATTTTTCCTGTGAGTTGACACATAGGTTTGTCCAGAGTCCAATGTCAAAACAGATCATGCTGTGCGATGCTCAGATAGATCATTGAGGAAAATCATCTTTAAAATTAAGAATTGTAACAACATGATGAATGCTTTTATAGAGTGACCATGGTTAGAGAACTTGGTCAGTTAATCCCATATGATTAAATATGATATAATATAACTAACAACTCCAGGTCATCAGCAGGTACTGTCACAGATGTGCGACTACCATACAGCTGATATAACATTTGTTACACATGGCCAGTTTCTAAAGGACACTGTGTACTAAGAAAAGCAAGATTTATGGATGTCAACTTCTTTATTGTGAATAACACGACGTTTCGTAGTGTATGCTTGCTCCTTCATCAGGTGTGTATGCTTGCTCCTTCATCAGGTGTGTAAAGCTTGCCTTCATCAGGTGTGTATGCTTGCTCCTTCATCAGGTGTGTATGTCATCAGGTGTGTAAGCTTGCTCCTTCATCAGGTGTGGTGTGTATAACTCCTGCAGGTCCCTTCATCAGGTGTGTATGCTTGCTCCTTCATCAGGTGTGTATGCTTGCTCCTTCATCAGGTGTGTATGCTTGCTCCTTCATCAGGTGTGTATGCTTGCTTCTTCATCAGGTGTGTATGCTTGCTCCTTCATCAGGTGTGTATGCTTGCTCCTTCATCAGGTGTGTATGCTTGCTCCTTCATCAGGTGTGTATGCTTGCTTACCTTCATCAGGTGTGTATGCTTTCATCAGCTCCTTCATCAGGTGTGTATGCTATTGCTGTGTATGCTTGCTCCATCAGGTGTGTAAGCTTGCTCCTTCATCAGGTGTGTATGCTGCTCCCTTCATCAGGTGTGTATGCTTGCTTCTTCATCAGGTTCATCAGGTGTATATGCTTGCTCCTTCATCAGGTGTGCTATGCTTGCTCCTTCATCAGGTGTGTATGCTTGCTCCTTCATCAGGTGTGTATGCTTGCTTGCTTTCATCAGGTGTGTAGGTTGCTCCTTCATCAGGTGTGTATCCTTCATCAGGTGTATAAATGCTTGCTCCTTCATCAGGTGTGTATGCTTGCTCCTTCATCAGGTTCATCAGGTGTGTATGCTTGCTCCTTCATCAGGTGTGTATGCTTGCTCCTTCATCAGGTGTGTAAGCTGCTATGCTTGTGTATGCTCTCCTTCATCAGGTGTGTATGCTTGCTTCATCAGGTGTATATGCTTGCTCCTTCATCAGGTGTGTATGTGCTGTGTGTATGCTTGCTCCTTCATCAGGTGTGTATGCTTGCTCCTTCATCAGGTGTCCATATGCTTGCTCCTTCATCAGGTGTGTATGCTTGCTCCTTCATCAGGTGTGTATGCTTGCTCCATCAGGTGGTAAGCTTGCTCCTTCATCAGGTGTGTATGCTTGCTCCTTCATCAGGTGTGTATGCTTGCTCCTTCATCAGGTGTGTATGCTTGCTCCTTCATCATTGCTCCTTCAGGTGTGTATGCTTGCTCCTTCATCAGGTGTGTAAGCTGCTATCAGGTGCTTGCTCCTTCATCAGGTGTGTAGGTGTGTATAAACTTGCTCCTTCATCAGCTTGCTCCTTCATCAGGTGTGTATGCTTGCTCCTTCATCAGGTGTGTATGCTAAGCTTGCTCCTTCATCAGGTGTGTATGCTTGCTCCTTCATCAGGTGTGCTATCAGGTGCTTGGTGTGTAAACTTGCTCCTTCATCAGGTGTGTAAGCTTGCTCCTTCATCAGGTGTGTATGCTTGCTCCTTCATCAGGTGTGTATGCTTGCTCCTTCATCAGGTGTGTATGCTTGCTCCTTCATCAGGTGTGTATGCTTGCTCCTTCATCAGGTGTGTATGCTTGCTCCTTCATCAGGTGTGTATGCTTGCTCCTTCATCAGGTGTGTATGCTTGCTTCTTCATCAGGTGTGTATGCTTGCTCCTTCATCAGGTGTGTATGCTTGCTTCTTCATCAGGTGTGTATGCTTGCTTCTTCATCAGGTGTATATGCTTGCTCCTTCATCAGGTGTGTATGCTTGCTTCTTCATCAGGTGTGATGGCTCCTTCATCAGGTGTGTAAGCTTGCTTCTTCATCAGGTGATGGAGGAGTAAGCATACACACACAAAACCGCCGTGTTATTCACAAAAAAGAGGTTGACATCCATAAATCTTGCTTTTCTTATGTATTCCACTTCTAAATGCTCTTCATAGATTTGACACTGTGTATTCATACCACATTTCTAATTGTACAAAAGTATATTTTAACAAAACAACCATGTTAATATACCATGATGCAAGGCAGGAAAAGTTAAAGTCTGCCCGAGACACCTGCCACACTCACCGTCGTTGAGGAACTGTGGACTACTCTGACAAGAAGGGATGGTGAAACTGCCGGGGGAGGAGAACACGCTCCCCACCTCCGACGCTGTGTCTGTACTCTCACTACTCGGACCCGGTGAACCGCCAAACTTTGTCTCTATAGTCAGTGGCTTGGTGACATCCGTTAGCGACACGGTTCGTGGGATCGTTATGCTCCCATCCTTCCCCTCCTTCATGGAAATCTGAATCTTGACGTTCTTATCCCTCACTGCTGAGTCAGCACTTTCAGAATGTTTCTCCTCATGTTCGTCCTTCAGGTCCACGCTGGTAATGTCATTTGACTCCTTGTGATTTGTTAAGGAGACTGCTTGCTTGGAACACTCGGGCATTTCAGAGTCTGTTGATTCAAATAACTTATCTCTTGCATTTTCAACAGTAGCTTTGGAATCTTTGGCTTCGACAGTGTCCATGTGATTGTAACTACTTCCCCTCTCCACCGCTGTCAGCCCTGGTGTGGTCACCTTCACCATCTACAACACACAACAGCACCGGTGGTGGAAACATGATCAGATACCACAGCAGTTCAGGGCCCACAAAGTGATCACAGTGCTTTGACTGCTGCATAGTTCTATGATCGTTTTGTGGAATGCAGCCCTGACAGCAATTCAACAAATACTCACTCAGTGGTTTCCAAAGCCTGCAGGGCATGTCACATTGAGTCTGTTAAGAAGAAACAGGTGAATGTTTGGCTGGTCAGCTTATTTGTGCTATTATTTGCATAATCTTTCAGTTTGTTTTAATTACAAAGTGTGTCACTACTCTCCAGCCCAGAGCTGTCCATGTACACTACACATATGAACATAAAGAACATTGATTCTATCATATTACTTTAGGTAAGAATTGATTGACCTTAAAATTCATTAAGTATACACTGTTTGGCAAGTTATTATATTACTATACCGGTAGGTAAGGATCGGTTGATCTTTAACTTCATTAAGTATACACTGTTTGGCAAGTTATCATATTACTATACAGGTAGGTAAGGATCGGTTGATCTTTAACTTCATTAAGTATACACTGTTTGGCAAGTTATCATATTACTATACCGGTAGGTAAGAATCGGTTGATCTTTAACTTCATTAAGTATACACTGTTTGGCAAGTTATCATCTTACAACAATTCAGTGAGTTCCCTCACAATGACATGCACTTAGGTCATACATTGTGACTACATGATGTTCATTTCAGCCAGCTCTTACAAGATTGGTGTACCTGTTCTGCTATGCTGTGAAACCACTGACACTGGTAACAGCTGAAAAATGAAACTCACTGAACCTGACTCACATGTGGCCAGTTTCCTGTATTCAGGAGAATTTTTTTTTTAAGCGGCAAACTCTGCAGTAACTTCCACAAGAAATAGTTCTAAGTTCCTAAACCTGGCACAAATAGTGGAAATAGTTCTGAGTTCCCTAAAATAGTGGCACAAATAAGTTCCTATACCTGGCACAAACAGTGGAAATAGTTCAAAGTTCCTAAACCTTGCACAAACAGTGGAAATAGTTCTAAGTTCCTAAACCTTGTACAAACAGTGGAAATAGTTCTAAGTTCCTAGACCTGGCACAAACAGTGGAAATAGTTCTAAGTTCCTAAACACAAACAGTGGAAATAGTTCTGAGTTCCTAGACCTGGTACAAAATAGTGGAAAACCTGGTACAAATAGTTCAAAGTTCCTAAAACCTGGTACAAACAGTGGAAATAGTTCTAAGTTCCTAAACCCGGGAAATAGTTCTAAGTTCCTAAACCTGGCTACAAACAGTGGAAATAGTTCTAAGTTCCTAAACCTGGCACAAATAGTGGAAATAGTTCTAAGTTCCTAAACCTGGTACAAACAGTGGAAATAGTTCTAAGTTCCTAAACCTGGCACAAACAGTGGAAATAGTTCTAAGTTCCAAACCTGGCACAAATAGTGGAAATAGTTCCACCATCCACAAATAGAACGACCCATAGTTTCAACCCTAACCAGACGCACCAAGGCTATCTGCGACCCAGCCCAACTCCAAGATGAGATTCGACCACCTCAAAACAACCTTCATCACCCTCAACGGATACCCCAAACAACTTGTAGAGCAGACCGTAGCCACCATCCTCCATCAACAAAATGACCGTCCACCTAAACCCGAACCAGCTCCCATCCGGATCAACATTCCCTACCAAGGCCAGATTAGCCATCACATCAGCCGACTTCTTAGAAAAACTGCCGGTGTTGATGTGACGTTTTATTCTGATAAAACTTTGAAATCCATCTTGAGAGCAAATGGAAGAGGTTGCAGCAACCAGACCAAACCCAATCCCAGAGGATGCATCTACAAAAATTGTTGTGATTGTGGAAGCAGTTATATTGGAGAAACTTGCCAGCCCTTCAATATAAGACTACAAGAACATAAAACTTTAGTTGAAAAATCTTATCTCAGATCTGCCCTCTCAGAACACATTATAAAAAATTCAAATCACTCTATCAACTGGCAACACACTGAAATCCTGGCTTCCAACATCAGCAATATGGCACAAAAGAAAACTTCTTGAACCAATCAACATAAGAAGATTAGTGCCTGAGATCAACAGGGATCAAGAGGTTTTCCTCCCTAGCATTTGGCATGAAATGCATGTGGAACCGGGTTTTGTAAATATCTCTTCATCCAATGACCCAATCGATCTCAAACTGTGCAAGTGGATGTTTTGTCAGACAACCTACCGGAAATCACATTGTAAATCACCAATTTTATGCATTTGTATTAAAGAATCTGTCTATGTAACTGTCAACAAAATAAACAGCAGACCGCAGACTGCTTGCAGAGGGAGTGAGCCAATGACCTGTAACAGCGGCAGTGGTGGGTCATAAAGGTAAATGCACGTGCAGTTCATGATAGTTACCTGTGCATTGCACAGTGATAGGCGGTTTGATACTTCTAGCTGTCATCATGAAAGCTTATTCAGATGATGCTAAGCGTTTAATTAGAAATGTGTTGAATTTTTTTTTTTAAAAGAGAGCAAAGCGTGAGCAAACCCGATTTATGAGGTGTCAGATGACATGAAACGTTACAACTTTTGCTCTTGGCATGAAAAGAACATCGTGCTAAAAATTGTGAAAAATAACCAACAACCAATAAACAAAACCTTGTACAAGAAGGTAGGCATCCACAGTTAGATTCTTTTGACATCAGGGTCATCAGAGATGTCATTAGCGGCTATTTGCTAGAAATGAACACCTCTTCATACCTGTCACGTGCATAGCTGACCTACATTGACGAGACGTTGACCTTTATGACCCAACACTGCCGCTGTTACAGGTCATTGGCTCCTCCCTCTGCAAGCAGTCTGCGGTCTGCTGTTTATTTTGTTGACAGTTACATAGACAGATTCTTTAATACAAATGCATAAAATCGGTGATTTACAATGTAATTAGGTTGTCTGACAAAACATCCACTTGCACAGTTTGAGATCGATTGGGTCATTGGATGAAGAGATATTTACAAAAAAACGGGTCCACATGCATTTCATGCCAAACTATAAGCCTCCCTAGCATTTGGTGCATCACCAAGAAATCATACTCTTGTTCTTAATTTACATATCTGGCTTCCTGTACATCAATATATAGATACTGTATTGTTCACTATGATCATTATCCACCTGACGAAGGGGCAAGAACCAGCCAAGAAACGTTGTGAGATATAAATCAAGAAGTTGTTATCCATAAGATTTGTCTTGCATTAATATCTTTTGTCTTCAAGATAATGAATTAATTTACCTAGTGAAAAAAAGGAGCATGCGTGAGCCAAGACTACCTTTGCATTCGTATACATTCAAGGTATGCAGCTATAAACCATAAGTACTGTTGTCAACAGCCCTGACAGACATGCACTGAGGAGAGACATGGCGCTGAGGGCAGACCAGCTGAATATCCGGTTGTATACACAGCTAAATGAAAACTTCAACAAATGTTGTTGTAACTTCTTTGAGGCATTTAGAAGTTGGAGCAGTAAGGAAGGATAACAATAGATGAATGAACAACTTCTTCATTCCAGTGAGGTGAGTGAGGTGAAATTGGGTTTAACGTCGTGCTTGAGAATATTTCGCTCATATGATGACGTGCATGTGCATGTGCGTGTATGTGTATGTGTGGCTGCTTGTACTAGCCCAGACTTAAGCTGGTTTTATAGTGCTAGCCCACTGAGATACCATGCCGCAGTGAAGCATGAATACCCCACTCAGACACATTATACTGACTCCGAGCCGACCAGTCCTTGTTGTACCCATTAATCCGAAGCCAGACAGGGACCAACAAGTACCATATTTTAATGTTTGGTATGGCGTGATCGGGATCGAACCCCATCGACCTTCTGCACTCCGGGCGGATGCTCATTCCAGTGAGAACGATGTGTAGGTTCTAAGATTGTAATCAAGATCACCATCACTTGCTTGACAATGGTGTTAGAACTGTAATAAAGAGTTGTTCATCCAGTTATTGTTATCCTTCCTAAATGTTCTTATGTTGGATCTGAGATTAATTTGGTCAGAACGATATCTGCTTGAAAATATAAACATCATTTATCAAGGGAAACATATTTCTTTTGCTTCTGCAGAGGACAAGGAAGACGGCTCACATCCTTGATCTGCCTCGTTGAAGAGTAAAGGCACTACAACTAAGTTTCAGATTTCTTGGAGTTTTACATTCCAATGTTTCAAGGCTGTCTAAACACATGGGAAACACTCATCTCAGATCCATGGATTTACTCAGAGCTAAAAAAACAACACTTTCATTTACTTTAGCTATACTTATGCTAATGTGTCATGAACTTAATCATGACAGAGGTCCAAAACTGCCATGTATAAAAAACAAGGCTTGTTGTTAACAGTTTGAACATCTTCATATGTTCATGTTAATGTTTTAACACTTTCTGTAGCTTTACAGGGTGCCAATGTACAAAGCAGCCTTAGTCCTACACCAGTCATAAGTCTATGTTATGGCATGGCATCACCTTAGCACTAAGATCACTTTGTACAATGGCACCCTGGTGGGTGAAAAAGGACCCTTATTCTAGCTTGTCTTCCACTCAAGACCAATACGGCAAGACATACACTGATCTGCCTTCAGGAAAGATCACAAAATCAACCTGTGAGGGATGATGCAGTTTTCACGTTACGATTATGCCTTGTGACTTGTCCTGTAAACACAGTGAATCAAAATCTCAGTAAGATATAAGATTTTGTGTGAGAAATAAACAATATGCATGGCACACACAATCATGCTAACACAAGGACCGTTAAATGTACACATGCAGTTCAAGGTTAATCTATCAGAGTGTAATAGAATACTCAAGTGCAGATAACCCAGCATGACATGTATAACACTGTCTGTGTACATGAGCAGGGGAGGTTACTGTGTTAGTGCTGGCTCAGTACGAATGTTCATCTATTCAAAACAAAATCTGAGAGTAAATGTGAAAAAGTGTAACAAAACTGGTGCAACACAAAACTGTCAAGAACAGGAACACGAAAACAATCTGTGCTCATACATTGTTAATGAACAGACCAGAAAAGGTATGTGTTGAAAGTTATAACCTGATGTAACCATGGCAACAATGATACACACCTATCATGACAGTTATTTTGCTTGTGTTGCTATGCAACCACATTAGGATGGGTCCAACTGTGACCAACAATCAGCAACACAGATGTGACATGTTTCACAACCTGGGCCCCGTTTCAAGAAGTGATCTTAGCACTAATGTTTATCAAAACTCCCATACTTTAACATAGGCTAGGATAGCCATTGCACTAAGATCTCTTTGTAATTATTGCACTCCCATGTGTATCATACAGAATTTATTAAATTTGTGCAAGAATTCATGTTTTAACCTAGCTCTCACATGGGAAGTTGATGATTTTGGACACTTGTTTCATAAACATGATAAAATCAGTATGACATGTTTGTTTCATAATCTCTATACATTTGATGGGGAAACATAAATATATGAACATTTACTATTTGACTGTTTTGTTATGTTACACATCGCATAGATCAGTCTGTTTCCAAACAACAACCCGATGTAGTATAAACATCTCCAGTTCTTCATCGTCTTACATACACCAGTTTCTCAAAACCACCCATACATGCATAGGCCCTCTTTGTGGAGTAGTGGGGGATGAGTGTCAACCGATGACGTGAGTGAGTATAGTTTTACGCCTCTTTTAGCAGTAGTCCAGCAATGCCACAACGAGGGGCACTAGAGATGGGCTTCTCACATTCTACCTACATTCTTAACTGATAAAGTGAGTGAGTATAGTTTTACGCCTCTTTTAGCAGTAGTCCAGCAATGCCACAACGAGGGGCACTAGAGATGGGCTTCTCACATTCTACCCACATTCTTAACTGATAAAGTGAGTGAGTGAGTATAGTTTACATTCTACCCACATTCTTAACTTTGAGCAGTAGTCCAGCAATGCCACAACGAGGGGCACTAGAGATGGGCTTCTCACATTCTACCCACATTCTTAACTGATAAAGTGAGTGAGTATAGTTTTACGCCTCTTTTAGCAGTAGTCCAGCAATGCCACAACGAGGGGCACTAGAGATGGGCTTCTCACATTCTACCCACATTCTTAACTGATAAAGTGAGGGGCGTAAGTAACTCAAGGAGAACACATAACACCTACTTAATAAAATGACTGACTGACTGAGTTTGGTTTTACGCCGCTTTCAGCAATATTCCAGCAACATCACGGTAGGGGAGACACCAGAAATGGGCTTCACACATTGTACCCATGTGGGGATTCAAACCCAGGTCTTCGGTGTGACGATTCCAGCCAACGCTTTAACCACTAGGCTACCCCACCGCTCTACTTAATAAATGAATGTATTGTAATGAGATTCACACCATTTTGTGAGTCAGCAGCAAAGTGTTCAGCAGCTGGGCAGAAGACTGGCACATGCTGCATAATATATAGAGGATACCAAACGGACATTTTTCAAAATGAGCAAAAGCGAGTTTGATACCAATTCTTTAACGAGTTTAATAAAAATGGTATTTCTCGGAAGCGAGTTTAGTATTCTGTTTATTACTCTCAAACATAAATTGATAGAAATTGCCTACATTGTGATGACTTTCAGCTTTCCGCGAGTCAAGCAAGATCTTATGCAGTATCTTCCATGGGCGAGTTATAAATAAAACCTCTTGTGTGATGTAATGTGAGTATTCCATTGTCTGCTCAGTTGCTAGTTTCCCTCTGGCTGTACCCAGCCAGTGGGTCAATTTGTCAGGTCAGTGTCAGAGAACGTATACTCAGCATATGGTCTCTGTTGGTGTACACAAGACCATTGAAGGAGACAATGCAGAGCAAACTTCATGTAACATAACTACGGGTAGTTACCCGTGGCAGTCTATTCCCACAAGGCACAGAACACTACACAGACTGATGTATCACAACACATAATCCTCAATGCTGTGGATTCACATGACAGGAGGGATAGTCTAATCTACGAGGTATCAAGCATATCAGTTATACAATCTCATCATAAGGTTGTTTACTCAGATTTGATACCCCTCTTTGGTCCAATACAATCTATGTTACCATGGAACTATGTCTTGAAATCTACAGAAACCAAGTAACAATATCTAGAAACATGTAACAAGTTTGTGAACATTTTAAATTGCATATTTACCAAGTAGAAAGTGCCTGCTCTCAAAAACCCACTTACAATACATTTTGATTTCTCAGAGTTGCCTGACCTGTCCTTGATCCACAAAGCCATCTTAGCATTACCACTATCATAGGTGAGGTGAAATTGGGTTTAACACTGCGCTGGAGAATATTTCGCTCATATGATGACGTGCATGCGTGTGTATGTGTAGGTGCGGCTGCTTGTACTAGCCCAGACTGAAGCTGGTTTTATAGAGCTAGCCCACTGAGATACCAAGCCGCAGTGAACCATGAATACCCCACTCAGACACATTATACTGACTCCGAGCCAACCAGTCCTTGTTGTACCCATTAATGCAGAGCGCCAGGCAGGGACCAACAAGTACCATATTTTAACGTCTTTTGGTATGACGCAGTCGGGGATCGAACCCGCGACCTTCCGCTCTCCGGGCGGACGCTCTAACCACTACACCACGGAGGCGGTACCAATATCATAAGCCTCTGCTTTAGTGCAAAGATCTCTTTGTGGATCGGGCCCCAAACCACTATGAGTTTGTCAGGTATTGACGGAGAGAAGTATCAAATTAGAGTAAACAACCTGATTGCAATGACACTGATCAGTTAAACAGTTGGTTTGCTAAACATAACACAAAATAGTCTGTTTACGAACAGAGAAAAACAAAAGAACTCTACAACTAGGCAGGGTAAGTTGTCTTGGTGTCACGGCCGACAGGGCAGAAGAAGCTGACAACATCCAACAACCTACCTTGGTGTCCAGCAGCTTTGGAACAGAAACAAACTACATGGTCAGTCCACAGAATATTTGGTCATTCACTGGCAAAGTTGCGACAATCAGCTGGTTGAAACACTTGAAATCCCTCCTCACTGTGATGGTCTATCCCTCTCCCAGCTCATCCCTGATTGCTACACAACCTGGTCTTCACCTAGGAATCTTCTACCCTCCAGTTACCTCCCCTGTCCCAGCCCTGTGAGTCCTCTACCCATTAGTTTATCCAACCACAACCTATTCTCACTTGTAAGTCGTCTTCCCCATGAGTTTACCCCATCCCTCACCTGTAAGTCGTCTACCGACTAGTTTCCCCTTCCCCTACCTAGTCTCACCTGTCTGCCCTCCACCCATCAGTCCCCCATCCCTCACCTGTAAGTCGTCTACCGACTAGTTTCCCCTTCCCCTACCTAGTCTCACCTGTCTGCCCTCCACCCATCAGTCCCCCATCCCTCACCTGTAAGTCGTCTACTGACTAGTTTCCCCTTCCCCTACCTAGTCTCACCTGTCTGCCCTCCACCCATCAGTCCCCCATCCTTCACCTGTTCATCCTCTACTGACTAGTTTTCCCCTTCCCCTACCTAGTTTCACCAGTGAGTCCTCCACCAATCCGTTCCCCCTTCCCCACGTTGTCTCACCTGCTGCAGGGCTTCCAACACAATCTGTCTGTTTGTCTTCAGAGTTTGCAGCTTGTGTTCGTACAGCTGACGTTTACATGGCACTACAGCCATCAGGTTGAAGCGGATGTCGTGGTATGGCTCCCTGTCAACACAACATGGTTCTGTATCACCTGGCACTTCCCGAGATAACACTGTTATTTAGGCATACAAATTCTTAACACTTTCATTGAATTGAATTTGAACATAAGTTGTTTGCCCTTGTTTAAATAAAGCTGGAAAAAATATATGATTAAAGTACTGTCGGAAATAGAAAAAAAATGTTTTTTTCACATTTAGATCCACAATTTATGAAGTTAATATGTGAAAGTGTGAAATATCTGTTAAACTAAGTTCGGCCTAACTACAGCCTCGGTGGTAGGGAGATAGGAAACGACTTATTTGGAACAGACCTTGGCTTTATGCTAATTAGTGTGCGATGATATTGTATTACAAAGGACACTTCTTAAATGCCTATTTAGAAATTAGAATTAGCTTCATTAGAAATGATAACTGACGTACAAAATAATATTTTTATTTGTGAAACACTTAAGGATGTAGCTACCATGGAGTCTCACTACCACTATAAAAACAAACAGACATGGGGGGTCGTCTCAAAAGCAAAACCAGGTCGGATGTCGCAGACGATGGTTGGGGTCGGGCTGGGATATAGAGATATCAGCTAAGATAAGATAATCCTTTAGGGAAATTAAACTGGGGAAGTAACAATTTACAAATAATATCCAGTCCTGTTGATCTTAGGGTTGCCATGCTACCTATATATTTTGAGACATTTAATAAGATGGCTGATTTAAGCCTTTCTGTGGGTATCATACTGTTTTACATATCTCAACATAAACTTTATGAAAAAAAGACACGTTAGATGTTAATCAATATTTGAGACATATTCAACACACAAGAAAATGCATAGAATATCTTTGAGATGACCCCTTGTGCCTGTAGGCAGCACGTGCATTCCATGCTCGGTGTGTCGACGGTCCGTCATCACACCTAGCCGAGAGACCTAACTGTCATCTATAGTCTGATCTATTGTTTTAAGCAGCTATTCATATTTTTTCTAAGTTTTGCCCGAGTTTACGAGTAAACATGCTTTTCTGGATATCCTATTACGCATCCCCTGAACACCCAGTTAGGCCCATTTGGGTTATTTCGACATATGCTATTTGCAATTGTGTAAATTTTAGGGATACAGAGTAACAGCCAAAATCATTTTTCTTCTATTTCCGATAGTACTTTAATAACCTCCATTTGTGCTCAATCAATTCATCATGTACAAAACAATTGAGAAGAACCTATTATACAAACAACTCACCCGCCGGTTGCCATGCCCAGTCTGTCGATGATGACCGAGCGGAACTTCTCTGTCCAGTACTGGTTCGACTCACACGGCCCTATACACAACACAGACACTGGAGCTTTACCTTCATGACTACATGACACACCCTGCACCCAAAGAACAAATACATGTACATCACTTTCCTTTTCTTTCAAGCATAGAAAACCAAATAATTTGATATTCATAACTGTGATGGCGGCTAATATTGTTTTCCTGTGTTTGGGTGTACATTTGATCACAGGAAATCTTGAATCACACAGACAACAGATTTTTTATAAAAGTTAGAACTACCAACCATGATCAATGGGATATGGCTTGAGGCCGTCAAGTTCAAACAATCGACCATTGATGGGGACATAGCTGACAAAGTGGAAAGCCTCCATGGTCTTTGTTGTGGAGATCCCAGGCTGCTTCTCAGGGAGATGTCTCGGCTCAGGTCTGACAGAAGAACAGTTGAAGGTCAAGCAATGTCATGATTCTACCTGACCTACAGACACAGTCAACACTGGCTACACATGCTTAACAGAACACGCTTGACAGGGGAGATTAGTAAGTATTGCTATTTCACCTATATGACAACAGTGGGACACCAGTGTACACATTGCATCTGGTCCTCTGCATGAAAACCATTGCTTTTGCCACTGCAGGCTATGGGAATTAGAAGAAGCATAAAGACTGACTGACTGACTGAGTTTGGTTTTAAGCCGCTTTTAGCAATATTCCAGCAACATCACGGCGGGGGACACCAGAAATGGGCTTCACACATTGTGCCCATGTGGGGATTCGAACCCGAGAAGGATAAAGAGAAACACATTAATACATGACACTAATGGTGCAAGATCAGTATTTTATACATCATACATTAATTTCAACTTAAGAAGTCTAGAGAACAAACTTTTATGATTCATATCAAGTTCCCACAATTAGAGTACTCTAGTGAGAGTGGAACACTGTTTCGCCTCGCATTCAGGACTCTGTCTAGACCAGCTCAGGATACAGAAACAAGAATCTGGATCAAAGTCCCGTCTAAAGTTTATCCACATCTGACAAGACTCCCTGCCATAATTCAAAAGCACCAACTGACAATAACTGATTGCAACACTGCCAAAGGATATATATTTCTGGTCTGTAGTTACCTTGCATGACTGTTGTGAGCCCGAGCCAGCTCTGGCATATTTCCTATTGCGAAGCCTTTATCCTGTAAACAATGAAGTACACATCACTAATAACCTGTTGTGGCAATAAAAACTGTATTTCATAATCATAGACCACAGGAGGAGATTCTACCATCAGCATGATCAGAATCTTCCAAACATGGCTGGAATTTCTCTTGTAACCATAGTAACAAAAAGACATGGCTTGCTGCTGTACAAACCTCTGGACTCATGTTGCTTGTGAATTCCTTGAACTTGTCCAAGGTTTCTCCCAGCTTGACCTTCCCCGAGTTGAGTAGTACACTCAGCAAGGCATGAGTGGCACAGGAGTTGGGGATGATCTGAAAGATTATAGACCAGAGTCACATCCCTGTCATTACAGCTACATGCACCACACATCCTAAAGGATTTTAGCAACAGTAACAAAACATACCAACTTTCTGACAAAAGAGACAGAATGGTAATATATTCTGAAATACACATACTTCTTTCAAAAGGACAACTTTACAACGTCCAATTCAACCCTTATCAGAAGACAGTATACAATCATACTCATAACCTCTTGTGGGTTGTATAGTTCCGCACATTTATCTGTCAGCTGGGATATGATGGCATGCATCAAACAAGTCAGCAAGAACAACCACCTGATCCCACGATCCCATTAGTCACCTCTCACAACAAGCATGGGTTGTTGAAAGCCAATTCTTACCTGGATCTTCATTAATCATGAACATGTACATCATTGTTAGAACTAGAAGTTTAAACATTATAAGGATGTGAAGTGAAGCAAATATAATTTCATGCCACAGCCAGCAAGTAGCATATCATCTACATCAAGAAAACCTGTAATTAATCAAGTCTGGGTCAGACAAACAAACACTGAATGAGACACCATCTGTGCTGTTGGAGCATGTTGCTCCACCTGTAGCAGCCATGTCCTGTACCAACCAGATGCTCATTTTATCACCTCCCACAACAAGCTATGGCGAGGCCAATTCAGAGTTGCAGACACAACAAGGACAGAATGCATGCATGTTGATGAAATAATACTATACAATTACAGACTCTTGTAGAGGTCGATATCGGTTATTATTGGCGTGAATAAATCAATATCTACCAATTGTGGTACAGGAAAAATACTACCTATATAATACAACACAAGGTCATCACCTGTTTGGCAAAGAAGATGCTGTTGACAGCGTTATCATCCATAACACAGGATTCATCTTCTGTAGTTGTCTTCCTGCGACATCTACGCTCCTCGATCCAGCGAAACAGGAAGATAAATCCATACACAGTCCTGAAAACGAAATAAAATATTACTCTACTATTTCGTTTTGTGACCACTTCAGACATGATATGCATAGGTCTACGGTGAACCAATGACATAATCAAATGTAATAGGCCTTTTCGTTTCAGTTTCAGCATCTAAATAATATATTTTCAGTGTGTGGAAATATCATCAAAGTTCAAGAAACCATTTTACATTTCATAAAAACACACTTTCTTTAAAAATTGAATGTATCACTACTCTTGCCCGATATGATTTTGAATTTGTAGTGCCACAGTGATACCTCTGTGTTGATTTGTGAACTTAGTTCATTTTAGAATACAACAGGTGATTACAGCACATCTGTTTGTGAAATGTTTTTTTCACACCCAGTTCTTTCATGAACTGATGCACAGTGACCTGTTTAGTTCCAGCTTGGGAATGAACATGTTGAAGAATATTACAAAATGTTAAACTCAGTACACTAAAGAGGATGACTGTGTCTGCCTGTCTACATTACCCATCGATAGGCTTCTGCAGGTCATAGATTTCCTCCACTTGAATTCCCTTCACCCCTGATAAGAAAACAATAACAGTTTAGAAACAATCTAGATGTTAGAAATTAGAATGTAGGTATGTTGCAAGAAACAATATTTGGCTGATAGTGATACAATAACTGTACTGTAACATAACCAATCATAGCAGCTATATTCTTGCATCCTTAAAATTGCATGTCAGTCAGACGTTTTAAAAATGTGAACAACTTTTTACTTTTGCAAATGGATGACCATCATATTTAAGTGTCTGCTAATCCATTCTAAATCATTTTAGAAAGCTATGGAGAGCAAAGGACCAGATCAATTTTACCAGCAAGAATATTTTGTTGCAGGAAACTATTATCATGTTAGTTTATTCAAATAACTCAAATATGAAAATATGGACAAGAGTGCATTTAGCAGTTCTGTGATAATGAAATCTGCTCACCAAAGTCCTCCAGTAACAGGGTGAATAAACCTGAAATACAGAATTGTTTCACTATTATGAATCAGTTAGATTTACTTGAACTAGTAGTATCACCAGAATATAACATGAGTGAGTATGGGTTTACGCCGCTTGTAGCAATATTCCAGCAATATCACGGCGGGGGACACCAGAAATGGGCTTCACACATTGTACCCATGTGAGGAATCGAACCCGGGTCTTCGGCTTGACGAGCGAATGCTTTTAACCACTAGGCTACCCCACCCCCCCAAAATATAACAGGGACACATGCATTTTACCACTGTGTTTACATTAATTCTGCTGCCCACGACAGTACTGCTATCAGCATGATCAGATTGAATAGAATAAAAGAGCAATTAACCTAAATATGAGCAATTAAAAAGCACTCCACTTGCATTTGTATCATGATGAAACACTGAAATTGAATACCAAAATACTTCATGTACAGTGGAAGCCCTCTAAACCGACAGCCCTCCAATCCGGCATGCTCTCAATATCGGCACTAGAATTTGGTCCCGGCAGAAGCTAGTTAATTTATGATCATATACACGCCCTCTAATCCGGCGTCAGTCTATTCCGTATTTCGGCACAACAAAGACTGCCCAATTGACTGTTTGTACAGTAATTAACGCTCTCTAAACCGGCATCCTGTATCTCGGCTCTCCTGTTGATTGGTGGATTGGCTGAACGTGTATTGACAACTTAGTGGATTACCATCGGCATTAAGCTCATTGATGTTGCCTGATAAAAGGAGTATGGATAAGGATTTGGCCTAAGTAGGTGAGGTAAATTGGTGAGTGACACGTGTCACTTGTATAACAAATTAATTGTTGTGTAAACAGTAAATTTGACAAAATTAACACACTGATGCATGATTCTTTTTTGACTGCCTGTTAGTAAAAACATGCCCATTTCTGGCCCTATTTTGAAGAGAAAGCTGTTCAGTTTGCTTCAGAATTAAATGTCAACGAGTTTAAGGCATCAGATGGTTGGCTTGCACGCTTGCTTCAGAAGACAATGTCGATACAACATCAAACAGTTCAAAGTGAGAGACAATAATATGATGACTATCAACACGCGTTGTTCAGTCGTATTTTACTGCATAGGAAGATCAGAAAAAGAAAAAGTTATCTAAACCGGCATTTTTTGTCGGTCCCAACGAATGCTGGTTTAGAGGGCTTCCACTGTATATCGAATATTGGACCTCAACATATACATGTTACTCAAAACTAGAGTATAATGTTGGTCATACTTTCAACCCCAAACTCACTTTGCTTATTTTGGGTTCATAATTAATGATGTACTCAGCAATTTTTAGCAACTGGTATATAATGGTGGTCTGTCAGTAAACGACTCTTGACCAGGCCATCCACTGACTGACATCCTGAACATCATTCTATACAACTGGGATAGATGGCATGCATCAACCCTGTCAGTGAGCCTGTCCACCCGACTTACGACAAGCATAGGTTGCTGAAGACCAAATCTATACCAGATCTTTTATCACTTTTTCGACTTTTATGAGCCATTTGCAAAGATATAAAGATATTTCCATCCTGTCATCGGAAAAATTGGTGGGGGCTACTGCTCTTGACCATAATTGGGGCATAATACATCACTTTGAGCAGGTGTTTAAAAACAGTAATATGATCTGACTCATTGGGCACTCGATGGATCGTTCTACAAATCCTGACAATAACACACAACTTCAGTTAGTTAAGCTAAGGACAGTAGTAAAGGTGGAGAACAAAAGGACGAGTAAAGAGTCAGAACCTGAGAAGCAGTACTAGTAAGGTTGTAAACTAGTCCAGCATATAACTAGACGACTTTGCACTATACCAAGGTGTGCTCGGTGTAGGCCTTGGCTGGAATACGAGTTTATTCATATGAACTAGGTTGTAAACATGATCTGGAAGAAGAATGTCAGCCGTAATCTACGAAGTACAGTTGGAATAATAGGCCTTTTTAAATAATCTAGCTAACATCTACATAAGATTTAAGCTTCTTGAAACAAGTTAAATTAAAACAATACACAGTTACACTGTTTCTCTGCATCTCATCAAGCGGCAGTAAGCGCTCAGTGTTTACTTTACAGTTATTTATGCATGATAAACTTCATCGATAATTTTCTTATCTACTTCCAGAAACACATTACCTGGGTCACTTTCCAGTTCCAACCACCCTTTGTTCATTTTTGCGCAAATATTTAGGAATAATTGTTGTTTTTCATAGCTTCGGCATTAAACGGAAGTAAGGAAAAATATCCCGCCGACCATAAAGAGTTCCGAAAGGGAGATAATTCACCTTTACTTAGTGTGACAGGGAAGAAGAGTTTACGCATTGTTCAATACTTGACATAAACACACAATGCAGTGTTTTACGCCGACTTTTAGTTTGTTTTGTTCACATTATTTATAAATATTGCGTGAAACATGCTGTTTCTCTCGAAGGTAAATGTTGATTAATGGTTTATCAGTGCCCCTTGAAACACTGAAATTTAGTTATTTCCTAATTACAGGGTACATGTTTGGTTACATAGGTGTCTCCAATTCAGACCGGAATCTATCAGTGAATATTCCGTACTGCACATATAAGAACGCATACTATTAATATGACCATGCATTTCCAGTAGAAATTATATAATAATATTCATGATCCCGATGAAAAATTTATGTAAGACAACAATTATCAGAATACACAATGCCATGTAGAAAGTAGTCAAATGTAACATATCTTATATTTGGATTACACTTTCTTAGTAAAGTAGAGATTCTAGTACTTTTTTGGGGTTGAGTCTCCGGAACTCGAACCCACACCCTCAGAGTCAGGCACCTAATCGCCAGCACACAAAGTCAGCCGCCTAACCCGCTCAGCCACCCGGATGGGACTCAACAGGGAAGTAGGTAGACCCGTGCGTGTGCGTGTGTGCATGTGTGTGTGTGTTGAGAAGAAAGAGACCCCCCACACACACACACACACAAATTTGTTTTACAGATTTTTTTGTACATCAAAGTATTGATATAATAACTGCGTTAAGTTAACTGCAAAGTAAGGTTTTGCTACAGGCGACAGAAACAAACATTTCAAAATGACATATTACCTGAGCTGTAACAAATATTATACTGTTTATGCTTGATGTATGTTGGGCAGGTTGGTACCATTATCCAACCATACTGACAATAACATTTGCTAATTAAGTTTAAGAGAAGTATGGCGGCGGCAGCATTTGCACCTCGTTATTGAGAATGAGTGACATACCCTCACCGCAGCCCCGAAATCCACACCTCAATTTAATGACACAAAGATTGCGGGCAGCCAGTCTGAGAGATGATCGGTACCAGAATGATACACCTAATTACATATGATTACAATAACCATTAATAGATAAAATAAGGAATCCAGGGCAATGACATAGAGACTACCCGGAACTATGAACTGAAGGCATATTGTGCAATACCTAACGACAATTAACGAACAAAAGATAATTAGAAGAAGGCGTGCATTCAATCCACACGACTCCAGGATACGTTAGACTCCAGACAGGATAGACAAAATAGAGAATAACATACAAAACAATCAATACACAATCAAACATTGATTAGTGAAAAATTAAACTATAAATAGTATTATATAAACTATCGACTTTGTTTTAATTTTGGAACTATGAACCGAATGAACCTTTGCTATATCATGAACCATTCCCTCATCTCCATGATCATGTGGTAACTTGATCTGACAGTGTTCATGACCATACCAGTCGGCAGCATGGCTTGTGAAAGGTCTTTCGATCTCCTCTCTTCTAGGCACAAGCTGTGGACACGTGCAACAATGAGCACAGAGCATCTAACTGCACACCTTTGATACTAAGTCCATGCACTATCTACTCTAGGAAGACAAACTGGAGGAAATTCAAATACAGCTAAAAGTGTATAGTCATTTTATATTCCCTTGGAACTGTAAATGTGTTAATTTCATGGTTGATCATAGATGAAACAATCTTTCTGGCTGACGTATCTTGTTAAGTTGCAATGAGTAAACTGAGTGAGTGAGTAATATTGAACAAACCTGAAAATATCATGTATATGATGTAAATTTCACGTGCAATTTCTGGACTGTCAACTGATTTAAAAAATACAACTATTGTACTGATACTTAAACTGAACAAAACAGTTGTTTTGCATATATACAGATATGTCTAAACATATTTAAAAAGTTTAGTTCAGAACATTAAGTACAGATGCTACAAATTTGAACAAAGAAACATGAAAAAATGGTCAAACATAGCAGGAAAGAAATAGTTTATATAAAATTGGAAATGACATAAATAGAGTCATTTTACCTTCAGAATTGCATCTGAGAGCATCTAATTTTAATAAAATTTCCTGGGCCCCCCTAGATCCTCGGATGCTTCAGATGCTACAGTGCCCCTCCCTATAAAGAAATGTTAACAACGGCCCTGCTCAACCCCCCAAAAGTACTAGAATCTGTACTTTATCTAAGAAAGTGTAATCCCAAATATAACATATGTTAATCATCAAAATTTCCAGCTTTAAAAAATGGAAGAAAATGAAGACTTGGAATGTTTTTTAATTAATATATTTTGTATCATCATTGTATTCTGTACCTTAAATGATACGTTTCCAATATGCTGAAAGTAAGTTATCCTATTTACACGTTAAAATACACAAACACTTCGCGTCATCGTTGATTTTCTCTGATCCAGTCACATAAATTTCAGAGCATGTTTTGCTTTTTACGCCCAACGGAAGCTGGATAATTGTTATTCAATAGCGTCGATGTCGTATATGTTCAGGGCAAGATTATTTCGACAGAATTAACAAGCAGTTTAAATAAATTAGCAACGGGAAACACGCGATCTCATGAGGAAATATTTTTAAAAATACCTGCTGTTTCCTATAAAACAGCACAACGAACATCAGGTATTCTTAAGAAAATATTTAGCAGTTTTTCACATATTCAGCCCAAATGTGGAACGCCTTACGCTCGTTCTATGTACAACGTAAACACGCTGAGGTCAAACAGCCTGCAATCTGTATTTACGTAACGCTACTCAGGTGAGACTGTCTCAGGAAAAAAATGTATTTTGTAAAGCATGACATGATAGATAACGATTTTCTCGCAGGTTCACGCAGTCTCTGTATATGCTAGGCAGTGGAGTTGTTGAAGCTATATCTACGGCTTCATTTAGCATGACACTGGTAAAGTGATCTGAAACTAACACTATTGATTTAGTGTAGACTGTTAATTTACAAGGCTTATTTCTTTCTTTATTTGTTTCATGTACGGATCCACCAAACTCACTAAATAGGAAAATTCATAAAATACATAACATCAGAACATGGTTCTTTTTATGAAGCTAAGATCGCGTTGATCCAATAATCAAATCTCAATAAAACGTAAACAGAAACATGTCAAAATTTAAATAGACATTATTATTTTTAGTATCATAACTATCAAAATAAAGTTTAAGACGAAAACAAAAATTTAAAAAATGCATAATTTCATTCATTGACTTCGATCCACCTATCAGCTTTTTCACCATCAGAATCCATAACCTAAAACCTATTGTCATTGCCGGATACAGAACTAGATGTTTCTTCGTTTTGGAGATCCATAGGTCTGCACATCTATGGTCCTAATAAACCGCAGTGTTGGACCTTTGGATTCTTGGATCTTTCAGCGCACGTATATCAGATTCATTCTGTACACTACGTGCACGTTTTAGAAAATCTTTTTTTAGAAAAACATTATATTCATCTGCCCGATGTTGTGTAACGAACATATAGCCTCGTTGTGTAAAAAAAGTTGTGGCACCTCGAGATGACACAGGAAATCACGTGACTCCTCTAAGCTGGGTCAATCCTGAAATACATCACCAAACAACGTACGTCGCTTGACACAGGCATCACATGTACACCGGCCACGTGGACACGCTGTAGCCTGCTGTATGGGGCTGGTTGTCACACCTTTGTTATGCAAAATAACTCATGGTACACTCACACCAAACCAACTTGCTGCATAAGCCTTAAATAGGACATTCGAGAAACATTAAACACGACCCCGAGAAACATTGAGGTTTGGTCTATGGAGGTGCACATATCTGCATATAAGATTGCAGACAGACATATATGCGCATATGTTTCTTGTTTCACACCGAATGTTTATTTTCATTATGCAAAATACCTTTTGGGATGAGAACTGAAAGGCAAAAATATGTTGAAATTTATGGTTTTCGTTCTACCTTCACCTCCAGTCTTCAAAATATGCGTATTAGAAAAAATATCATACAGGCTAAAACCAAAAACTTACTTAAACTATGTAAATAAAACAATGAAAAGCATTTGACTGTGACAGATGTGCTGCGTGCGTGCGTGCGTGTGTGCGTGCGTGTGTAAGCATGTTTGTATGTATATGTATGTGTACGTGGGTATGTAAGCGTGTGTGTATGTATAGGCGTTCAAAAGTAGTCAGCCTAGCTATATTCTCGATGTCCAATGTTTGAAAAGCTTCCATCTGGTTTTGAAGGAATCATTAACAAAGCCATATCCAAAATTTCACATATGTGGGTCATGTGGTTAACGAGATATTAGTCATCACAACACACTGGGGTATAATATTTCTTATAAATTGAAGAAAATGAAAAACGATCTGTCATTTTGTACCTCTTGGATAATGGTATGCCCTCAGATAATATCATATAAAATATGTTCAGTATAGTATTGGATGACACTTGTGTGACCATTCAGTATTAAGTTTGAACCCTTGTCATCATGTATGAATAAGTCAAAACATTAGAATACGTTGTGTCCTTATGATTACGCCATCTGAAAGGTTGGTGGGTAGTGTCTCCAAAAGAAGTTCTTTCAGTAAACATGAAGGGGTGGGGTGGGGAGTGGAAGACACTTTAACAAGCGATTGTACATAGTTTCAAATTGCTTTTTATGCACTTTAATATCTAAGTTTGATTCTAGCGGACTTCTGCCTATCTCAAACACACAAAATGCTTCTTGCATATTTTGTTTCCTGAAGTTTGTGATGCATTTATTGCAGATTTTATGTTTTGGGGGGTACCAAGATATAAAGTCAAACAAAATTGCGATCATGAGGCTGGAACATAGCAAAACCAAAATTGCTTGAGGTTAACAGATAATATGTAGAAAAATAAAACATAAAAACAGCTGCATTTGTATCATTTTCTAGGTGAGGCGGACTACTTTTTGAACGCCCCTCGTATGTACGTGTGCGTGCGTATGTAGATGTGTGCGTATATAATTATATTAAACCCCTGATAATCACACTCAGGGTTGTATCCATTAGTCCTGGAAAGCATCATCATCACACGGATGCTTGCCCTGTTACGGAACTGAGAGGCTACCGTTATAGCACCAGTAAACATTATCTGTGGGTTTTCCCTGGTCGGTCTCAGACCCTCGTGCACGCTGGTTGTTTAAGCCGACCACAATGGGGATCTATGACGCGGTGCGTGTTATAAGTTCTCGAAGGTTGCACTTTCTTGAAAAATTAACTTTCTAAATCATCTGAGGCATAAATGGAATATTTTGCAAAAATTATAGGTCCAGAATTAAAGATACAAGCTGTAGTTTCCTGTACCCAATGTGCGCCACGTGGTCAGGTGATGAATGGTTCACAAGTGCATTGTGTGAGCAAGAACGATTTTCAATGAGAGTTTGACGAACATTTAATGGTTTGCTTAAGGTCAGTCTTCTGACATCTGAAACCGAATTTGGAAAAACAACTCACAAAGGCATTATTGTGACAGCTGATTAACAGTTATATACACACTGACATATTCTCTTCTTTAAAAAAAAAAGATTTATGTCTTGACATTTATTCAGGTATTCATGGCTTTTGTCTTGCGGACCGATAAAAAGTATAGATTTAGTATTTTAACAGGTGCTTCATCTCAGGTGCAGTTGCCTCAGATATGACATGGGTTGTCAAATAATGGCAATATATAAGGTTTATGTGTGTTTTCTAGCCATGCCGGCGAGATCTGTATTTGGGACATCAAAGGCAGGTAATCATGAGACATTTTTTAACACCTGTTTCATTTGAGAGGACAAATGACGATATTGTTGTGTGAGAAGCAGGTTATAAGACGTCAATTGTTAAAAGAAGGAACAGCACAAGGGTGGGAAAATGAATAGTTTACTTGGATCAATCGTAACTTGTACCTGCTCATTTTATAACTTCTACCTAAGTTCTGTCTTAGAAATAAATAAACCTCGCTTTGCACTGCGCAGATGACCCATTTCAGATGACATTATCCCTATGAGAAATCCAACCTTCATCTACCTTTATCTCGCTGACTAAACCCCATCTCATCTACCTTTATCTCGCTAAGTACACCCAACTTCATCTACCTTTATCTCGCTGACTAAACCCCATCTCATCTACCTTTATCTCGCTAAGTACACCCAACTTCATCTACCTTTATCTCGCTGACTAAACCCCACTTCATCATCTACCTGACCAAACCCCTTCATCTCTACCTTTATCTCGCTAAGTACACCAAACTTCATCTACCTTTATCTCGCTGACTAAACCCCATTTCATCTACCTTTATCTCGCTAAGTACCATCTACCTTTATCTCGCTGACTAAACCCCATCTCATCTACCTTTATCTCGCTAAGTACACCCAACTTCATCTACCTTTATCTCGCTGACTAAACCCCACATCATCTACCTTTATCTCGCTGACTACACCCCACATCATCTACCCTTATCTCGCTGACTAAACCCCATCTCATCTACCTTTATCTCGCTAAGTACACCCAACTTCATCTACGTTTATCTCGCTGACTAAACCCCACATCATCTACCCTTATCTCGCTGACTAAACCCCACATCATCTACCCTTATCTCGCTGACTAAACCCCATCTCATCTACCTTTATCTCGCTAAGTACACCCAACTTCATCTACCTTTATCTCGCTGACTAAACCCCACTTCATCTACCTTTATCTCGCTGACTAAACCCCACTTCATCTACCCTTATCCCGCTGGGTAAAACCCGCTTCACCTTCCTTTATCCAGCTGAGTAAACAATACCTCACTTGTTTGAGCGGCATTCTAGAAGTTGGTGGGTCAACAAATGAAACATACAACTTTATGGATGACAACTTCTGTTTATTTGCGTTGAGCGACGTTTCGATGTAGATTCTTACATCGTTTATCAAGCTAAAAGTGAGTACAACCAAATGGTGAGGAGCATATATACATGGTATGTTGTGACAAGCAGCAGAGTAACATTAACAACAGCATGTAATAGAAATGACAAGTGGTACATAATTGGAAGAGGCCAGTAGGGAACTAAAAACAACAAATAGCACTAGTGATGAAGCCAATAAACAGGGGAATTAAGTAGTAACAACAAATAGACAGGGTGCTATTGATGGTCTATAGTTTGATTAGTTCTTCATAGGCTGATGGGATGTAGTATCCTTGGTCACGGTTGATCAAAGGTTTGTGGCGGCGGATTTCGATGGCTTCCAACAGTTTTCTTTTTGTGAAGTCCTGATTATTGGTTGATAGGACTTCGAATTCGTCAAACTTGATTTGATGGGTAGGGAACTTTGCTGGTGATCTGAGAGGGCTGATTTGCTGTCTGCCTTAGCTGTAGAGGTTTTGTGTTCTTTTATGCGGGCGTCAACGGGACGGGAGGTTTCACCTATATAAGAATCACCACATTCACAGTTAATCTTGTAAATCACCCTTTGGGGGTTGCTTAGTGGAGGGTGGATTACGGCCATTGGCCTGGAGAATGGTCCTGAGGTGGGTGAGGTGAAATTGGGTTTTACGTCGTGCTGGAGAATATTTCGCTCATATGACGACGTGCATGCGTGTGTATGTGTATGTGCGGCTGCTTGTACTAGCCCAGACTGAAGCAGGTTTTATAGTGCTTGCCCACTGAGATACCATGCCGCAGTGAAGCATGAATACCCCACTCAGACACATTATACTAACTCCCGCAGACCAGTCCTTGTTGTACCCATTAATGCCGATCGCCAGGCAGGGACCAACAAGTACCATATTTTAACGTCTTTTGGTATGACGCGGTCGGGCATCGAACCCGACCTTCCGCTCTCCGGGCGGACGCTCTAACCACTACATCACGGAGGCGGCAATGTTCCTGAGGGTTGGAGAGCCAGAGAAGATGGTGTCGATACCTGCTTGGTGCTTGAGAAGTCTGCTGAGTTGGGGGGAGGTCTTGCCAATATAAGGAAGGGTAATTCTAATGGGGGCGGCTTCATGCTTCGTCATTTTGGGTTTGCCCTGGAGCGTGATGGAGATGGTCCTCTTGACTAGGTTGGTGGGATACTGGTTGATGTTGGTGAAGACACGTTGTAGGTGGGTAAGTTCATGCTCTAGGTCATCGCTGCCGGAGCAAATCTTCTTGGCGCGCCTTGTCAGGGTTGAGATGACACCAGACTTGGTTTTAGGGGGGTGGTTAGAGTTGAAATGAATGTACTGGTCGGAATGGGTGGGTTTTCTGTAGCCCGTGGTTTGGATCTTGTTGCAGGGGTCTCTGGAAACAAGGACATCTAAGAAGGGAGTTTGTTGTCGTTCTTTGTCTCCATGGTGAACTTGATCCTGGAATGTTGGGTGTTGAGGTGCTGGAGTAGTGAGGTGGGATCTTGGTCTTTTCTGAGGGCGACAAAGGTGTCACCACCTTCCTATACCAGCACACAGGTTGGATCGGGGAGGAGGCCAGGGTTTCTTCTTCAAAATGGGTCATGTAGATTTCAGTAAGAATGGGGGAAAGAGGGGACCGTTTGTTGATACCTCCGATGTGTCATCATACAGACTATAAACATTCTCTTCCAACCTCCATCGGCTGGAACATACATAAGCATCGTATCTGTATTTTTATACCTATAATGTTTGCCAAAGATAGAGTATCCCTTGAAATACCTACTCGTAATTTTCTGATTAAGCCTTGAAATTATTGCTTCAGTATCTGGAATAATGTACGTACGGCGTTCTTAACGCCAGTAGTATATGACGATAATGCACACCGTATGAAGTGTTCAATCTTTGTTTACTGCTGTCTTCGAACGGCCCGGATTGTTTACCAGCACGTATGTAGCCAGGGAACAACATCTTGGCCGCACATGGCAAGTCCAGAAACCGGTGTATTTATTCGGTGCATTTATTCTCGAACATTTCAACGCTTTAAAGGATGGTTTACAACGAACCGTGTGTGTCATCACTACCACCACTATCAACGCCCTCACTATTCCTGTCGTCACTACCACCACTATCAACGCCCTTACAACGAACCGTGTGTCATCACTACCACCACTATCAACGCCCTCACAACGATTCCTGTCGTCACTACACCACTATCAACGCCCTCACAACAAACCGTGTGTGTCATCACTACCACCACTATCAACGCCCTCACAACGATTCCTGTCATCACTACCACCACTATCAACGCCCTCACAACGATCCTTCCTGTCGTCACTACCACCACTATCAACGCCCTCACAACGATTCCTGTCGTCACTACCACCACTATCAACGCCCTCACAACGATTCCTGTCGTCACTACCACCACTATCAACGCACTCACAACGATTCCTGTCGTCACTACCACCACTATCAACGCCCTCACAACCACAACCGTGTTCCCCGTCGTAACTATCACTACCACCACTATCAACGCCCTCACTACCACCACTATCAACGCCCTTACAACGATCCCCGTCGTCACCGTGTCGTCACTACCACCACTATCAACGCCCTCACAACGATTCCTGTCGTCACTACCACCACTATCAACGCCCTCACAACAAATCCCTGTCGTCACTACCACCACTATCAACGCCCTCACAACGATTCCTGTCGTCACTACCACCACTATCAACGCCCTCACAACGATTCCTGTCGTCACTACCACCACTATCAACGCCCTCACAACGATTCCTGTCGTCACTACCACCACTATCAACGCCCTCACAACAAACCGTGTGTGTCGTCACTACCACCACTATCAACGCCCTCACAAATCCCTGTCGTCACTACCACCACTATCAACGCCCTCAGAACGAACCTAGCGTGTCATCGCTACCACCACTATCAACGCCCTGCCATTTTCAGTTCTGATTATGAATGTTTCATCAATAAACTAACGATGTAATTTCCTAAATCGAAACTTTAACCATCAGTTGAACACGTAACTCTAGCGCAAAGATAGGATTTCATTTTGTTTGCCGAAAAATAACTGGAAATCCGTCTACCGCCCCTGACTATTTTTCAAATCTAATAAAGCCACGTGCATGTTTGCGGCTGGTTCTCACTGATTGTTTTCTGATAAGTCTGGAATGTATTATGTTAGACAAAACGCAACTTACATGGATTTTCTGTCATCCAAATCATACTTCTTTGAGTGTTTACGCGAAAATTATAAAGTTTGTGTACGGATGTCAATCTATCTGGGACTGCATTCCTTGAGCTTTCTTCTATTTCACTATCGCCATAATACAGAATTATTTTCCCGTTTACAAATTTAACGTGAATCTAGTTTCCACACAACTATTCCTAAATTAAACAAAACGACGTATTTTTGTTCGGACGCAGAGAGCGAACATTTTTGCATTCGAGGCGCATCCTGAAGAATGGCTTGTGAGAAGGCGGGCATACAGTGGCGTCGATTGTGTATCACTACTCATGCTATGTGTTAACATTATAGCAATCTAGTGAGCAACACATTACGACCAGCACCAAACAACGGTCCTGTTTGATTCCAGCACAAGGAATTTTAACAGACATGAGCGAGGACAAACAACATGATGCTTCTACAAACACGAAGCCCCGATTCTTCAGGGACGTTAACTCGTTCCACATCTTCGGAAAACATTTGTTTTGTTCCCGGTTTAGACCAGGCTCGCCGACGTCAGTCAAGAAGGACATTTTACCAGGCACAGGAGACTCGAGTTGGTGGAGTAGACGCCTGCAGACATGGTTCCAGTCAAGATCGTTGCCCTGTTCCTGTGCTTCGTCGTTGTTGCTGAGTGTCAATGGGGCACCAACAATAATGGCAACTTTCCACAGAGTCCTTTTCTGAAAGGGGGCAAACGCCGTGACCATCCGCAGACTAATCACGACGACAACAACAACAACAACAACAACAACAACAACAACAACAACAACAACGCCAAATGGAACCAATGGCCTGGCTCCGGCAGCGACCACGTCGACGGACACAGTGACAACCACGACCACAACGACAATGGACATAAACATATTCTGGGGATAAAGATGCCACGTGGTAACGGCAGAGGTGTAGGAGGTATGGTATTCAACTCTTTACAACGTTCAATAGACATTTATACCTATCAAGCATGGCATAAACATAAATAATAAAAACCCTCTCCATAATCCTAAGATATCTCTTATTAAAAACCGCTTCGCGATTTCGACTATAGCACGGATATGTGTAATGGTACACTCTGAAGTAGTGGGTTCGCGAAAAGGTGAGCTTATCCTGTCCCGTCAATGACACCCGTCACAAACGCAGACAACGAAATGCCAAGAGTTCATCTGAAAGAACAACTACATGTATGAGAAAATTATAAGCATATGTTAATGAATCGGTAACCAATAGTGATGACACCTGATGGGTAGCCTCACAAACTGAATGAAATAATGAATCACTGCTCAGGTAAATATTGCATGACTTAAAGACTTAATGGTAAAGATGAGTCTGATTTAGATCTGAAACTACAAGTGAGATAGTGAATAGCTGCCCGGATGCTGTCTACACACGTATGTTAACGCAGCCACTGTATTCATTGGCGGGTGTCCTTAATACTCTTGTGATTATTTCATTGCCCGTATAGACCACATCTCAACCTACTTGGTTTTACTCCACATGTGCAAGTGATAAAACAATGAAACATACGTGCCGAAATGTTCGAGGAAAGTTTAGATACGGATAAAATGCAGAAGCGAATAATGAAGTAAAGAAACTATAATAAAACAATACGTGTTAAAACCTCTCTGTCGTTGAGGAAGTTACATGTGCACTTAAGGAACGTGCCTGTTTTTATTGCTGAAACAAATCCTTAAAAGCAACATCTACTCTAATATTTTGTGAAACGAATCCTTAAAAGCAACATCTACTCTAATACTTTGTGAAACGAATCCTTAAAAGCAACACCTACTCTAATACTTTGTGAAACGAATCCTTAAAAGCAACACCTACTCTAATACTTTGTGAAACGAATCCTTAAAAGCAACACCTACTCTAATACTTTGTGAAACGAATCCTTAAAAGCAACACCTACTCTAATACTTTGTGAATCGAATCCTTCATAACAACATCTACTCTAATACTTTGTGACATGTCAAAGCTGCGCAACAGCTAGTTGTCTGTGATGTCTCACGTCAGTCTTGGCGTGTTCGTCATGTCATCTTCACTGCTGGATTTAATGGACACTATCAAAGTACCTTATTTCTCAGTATTTTGCATGCTGTACAACAACGCATGTTATACAGCTGCATATATAACTAAATAGTCTATTGTTTATACAGACAGAGTTATCCAACACTTCATTGTAAAACATATTCAATATGATTCTGCGATATTCAAAACAGAGATTAGTTTTTGAATTCATTACTGATGATGTTAGGTCAGGACCTAAAAGTAATGAAAAGTACCTGTATAGACGGAGTTCCACTTGATTTTAAGAAAATTACCTGTATAGAAGGAGTTCCACTTGGTTTTAAGAAAAGATTCTATTATTTTAAGTACCATTCCACTTGGTTTTAAGAACTAAATCTACCTTTTCGTCGTAGTGAATTTGCAGATTATTTCAATGTCATTGGTAAAAACTTTAGAGGATTTTAGAGGATACTAAACTGGACTGAAGTTAACAATATGACACCTGGATATAGATCCTCAGAGAGAATAACAAGTCTCAATTATCTCTCGAAAGAGATTCAATTTGGTGTAACAGGCAAAATAACAATTAAAATGGTATAAATGTCCGTGAGACCGTGTCAAACCCTGACTTGGGTCAGTGTGGCCATTTTTTCGTGTGGCCATTTTGACCTGTTCCCGTAATGCCCATTGTTGACGGAACATCAGTATTCACCATGTGTCTTTACAAACCGCAAGGGGAAATACACTTGAAAACTGCATATGACCAAAGAATTACAAACGTTGTATAAACATCGCTGTCTAGTTTCTTTTGTCTGTCAGTTTAAGTGGTTCTCGTTTATGATGTATCAGATATGTCTCGGACTCCCTCCGCACTGGTTTCCTTAGAAGATATATAGTACAGGAGGACATCTGCTGTATAAATGTTGATCAAATATTGAGTAGCTGTTTCGCATTTGATAGCTGATTAGCACGGATCTCATTGACTATTTTGTTCGTCTTATCCCGAGGGAAGCCAGGTCAGAAATGGTCACTAGCAACCTATGCTGGTCTGAATCAATACTATACTGTTGTACTGTCTTCATTAATACCCCACTTCTTAAATGCTGCTCAATATATGCTGTTGTACCATCGTCATGAATACTACAGCTTCTCAAGTGCTACTGAATAATATGCTGTTGTACCTCTTTCATTGATGTTACAGCTTCTAAAATGCTACTGAATAATATGCTGTTGTACCTCTTTCATTGATGTTACAGCTTATAAAATGCTGACCAATAACATGCTGTTGTACTGTCTTCATGAATACTACAGCTTCTAAATGCTACTTAACGATATGCTGATATAATGTGTTCGATTCCTCACATGGGCACACTGTGTGAAGCTCATTTCTGGTGTACCCCGCCGTGATATTGCTGGAATATTGCTAAAAGCGGCGTAAAACCATACTCCCTCACTCCCTCACTCACTGATATAATGTTTTCATGAATACTACAGTTTCAGTTGGTTTGTTGTTTTACGCCGCACTCAGCAATATTCCAGCTATATGGCGGCGGTCTGTAAATAATCGAGTCTGGATGACACAGTCCAGTGATCAACAGCATGAGCATCGATCTACGCAATTGGGATATGATGACATGTGTCAACCAAGTCCAGCGAGCCTGAACACCTGATCCCGTTAGTCACCGTAAAACGGCATCTAACATGCTACTGAACGATATGCCGATGTAGTGCCTTCATTGATACTGCTGCTTCATTGATACTACAGCTACTAAATGCTACTTAACGTTATGGTGATGCACTGTCTTCATGAACACAAAAGCTTCAAAATCCGACTTTACAACTCTCACTCATTGACTCCTTCACCCACCCATCCATCCCCTCACTCACTCGTTCACCCACACACACACCCACCCATCCCTCACTCACTCGTATTGACAATCCATTGATTCTGTCTTCCAGCTTCCTGCGGTGGTCAGCGTTACGCCGGGCGGACCCATATCTGCTGCGGGGGCACGGTGAAGCGCCGCCAGGGTATGCGCCCAGCCTGCTGTGGGCGACAGGTTTTTGACTTTGTGTTTGACCTGTGCTGTGACGGCAGAATCACCAAGAGGACAGTCTCCAGGCCATTCTGTTAGACAAACTCACTTTCAGCACAACACAGCTTTTCAAAATATTTACATCGAACACTGACGCATTTTAATAGAAACTAATTTAAAGAATCAGGCAGACTACATTTGTATTTGTAAAGCTTACTAGTAACTGAATGTCAGTTGTACTATACAGTATTGTATGCGTTTGTCATTACATATGAACGTTTTAACCAAACAGTACCATGTGTTAGTGTGTTCCAAACCAGCATCTGGTTTAGTCTGTCTCAAGCTCAAGTCAGTCTTAGCGTGTTCGTTATGTATCATGTCTGCGCTGCTGGTCATTTAATGGACACTCTGTATCAATGTAACACGTCTAGTCCATCGCATGCTTTACAGCTAATATTTAACCAGACAGTCTATAGATTATAGAAACATATACTCATGTTTACACCACTCTAGTATGGCTTTACGCTTTTAACTGAATAAAACATACGTAAATACTATAAAAGTGATAATTTGTTTTAATTTGTTCAATATTTCAGACATACCGAGAACATTTTACTTCATTACCTGTAAAACATTTATTACTGATAATAAGTACTAATCTTTTCCTTAAGAGTGTATCTAAAGTTTATGTCACCCCACAACCCCCCAAAAATCTAAATAAAATAAAATTTAAAAATTCAATATTTCTTCCATAGCGGACCATGAGTGAGTAGTGTTTTACGCCGCATTTACCGCCAGCATACAGGACCCTGCTAATGATGTTAACACGCAGAACTAATGTTGGGAGTCCACCAAGCCAGTGCTTTAACCCTAGTCTGCGTCATCCTACATAGATATAGCTACGTGCCACAACGTTCATTGTACACCATGTTAACATTTCAAACATTCTCGATAACTGATTCGGAAATTTGTTTTGTGCTTAAACGACGCTCCATACAATGATTGTGTTATAACATGTTCAGTCGGTATAAGGGGGCGAAGGAGGAGTCAATAGTTAAAGCGTTAATCCCGGGTTCGAATGCCTACATGGGTACAATGGGTGAAACCCATTTCTGGTGTCCCTCGCCGTGATATTTCTGCAATATTGATAAAAGCGGCGTAAAACCTCACACACTCACTCACTCAGTCGGTACAATGTTGGATGGAAATCCGGAGACATTCAGGTGGCACACAGTTGCGACTTTGATGGAAATATATGTAGTTAGTCCTTACTATCGTAAGAAACAGATTTAATTTGGTGTAAAGAGCAAAATAGCTGAAACATTATAGGAATGAACCACCGAAAATTCAGTGATGACAGGAGGTTTCGCAAAAGGTTAGGCATGTGCTACCGGTAGGATTCACACAATGTGCCTGAAACAGTAGATATTGGCAGTCCAACACCACACAGCCGTGCTTCTACCATCCAACAGCGGCCTGTAAACAAAACATGCAATCAAGTTGCAACGATGAACCTGAAAATCCAGTTGTTAATTTTGTTAAACTGTGCAGGAAACTCCGCCGTTACAAGTGAAGAAATACGTTTTGGAAATAGATTTGTCTTACAACACAATACAGTTCAGTAGTTTTAATGTTTCGGTTCTAACGCACGAACACAGGTATGACGATGAAACCAAGGGTAATAAGTACACTTATAAATTTACATGATGCGAATTTATATATCAAATGCTGATTGTAATGTCCAATTATATCCTCATCATACTAAAATCAGTCACACTCACCGACCAATGATGACGCATATGCATCAACGTGCACGCGTATGACAGAATAACCAATTGATGTGTGAATATATAATTAGTGATCCAATATTACTTAACAGAAAATCCTAGCATAATTTACACCTAGGTATAATGAGTCATGTACGTGGGTGATAGTGGCAATGATTGAATCACATTACCTACTTACAAATACCTAACATACCCTATTTACAACTCCCCATCGCCAATTAAGAACCTTTATCACCATGGCGGAAGACCATCTGTGACGAAGCCGTCTTGAAGGTCCAGGTGATTCAGGGATGTAAGAAAGATATATAACTGTTGTAAGCCCGGTAATTACTGGAGAGGGGCGAGAGTCTTGGTGAGAGCGTCAAGGCTTCCTTGACAGCCATTTGTCACAGTGTGTCATCGCATTAAACCACTGAGGCATAACCAGTTGGGTTAGCCCTACCAGCGTGTCGACTGCCATTACTCTGTACCGTGTTAGCAGTGGAGAGTTACCTTGGATGGAACATTGACACATGTAGGCAAATACTGGGATTCCACACTGACATAAACCAACTAATGTAAGTACAGATATGTCATTCAATAATCCAATGTATGTTTAATTAGAACGATTGGGGTTTCTCTCAACTCCTCGTCCCCTTCTGTCTCCGGTCGAGAGCGACGGGACATGGTAGATGAGAATAACGGTATACGTGTGTCCGTATTCAAACAGGTTGTTAATCAAGGGCACTGATGGGTGTTGTTGTGTTTTGGACGTGCAAAACGACATCCATCACAACACGCTAGAATGGACACTCAACATTAGCAATAGTTGGATGATGTATTTGAAGAATGAAGAGTAGAACAGTCTCTGATTCTTGCCTTCCGGGATTCCATTACTGTGTTTAGTGAAACGTCGTTATGTAAAACTTTTTGTGAACTCGCTTGAATTTAGAGTGTGTCTTCCTTTTAATTCATCAACGTCAGGGTGCAGCATGGCTGGCCTGAGCTCATCCTATCTTCATGCTGAAGTTAATGCTCCCAATACCAACACTTTCAGGGACGTTCCATGGTGCGATATAAACATTAAACATGCTCTACGTTAATGCTGTCGATTGTCTCATGCGTACTGCATTGTGTGTATATGTGTGTGCGCATGCATGTGTGTATGCATATGCGTATGCGTGTTTGAACATCTGATATCCTTGAAAGCGTGCACTGGTGGGTGTGGTATAAATATCATGTGCGCATTTATTCATGCAAGAACCTGCACGTTCATGCACGTGCACCAGTCTAACGCTGCCTTCATGTTTGTGTACGCCAATGCCTGTCAGTGTCTGAATATCCATCCTCGTGCGTTGTTATGTCTGGACAAGTATGCGTGTATAAGTGCTTGCGTGAACGTTCATGCTTGTGCGAGCGTATGTGTGTTGAGGATCAATATTGGTGTGTCCACCATGTTTGGCGATACAGTAGGCATGCTACTGGGATTGTCTGCACTCTCCTCCTCTGTTTACGGCATGTCAGGGGATTTAACAGACCAGTCCAGTGTCTGTATATGGTCGGAGATAATAGTGACGACCTGGACAGGATGAGGTCTGGCATTGCCATCTGGCTGTTCAAACGTTTTGCAGAAAAATCTTGCGAATAAAACAGCAGGACGCAACACGACTCTACTGACCAATGGTTGTGTTCGAGAATTGTTACCCTGGGTTAACGCTGCCTACAACTGGTTCTGCCATCTCTGATTCGTCTGTAGACATGTTGTGGCGTCACTGGTACACATAATGTCCCTAGTGTTACCGAGACGACCCTTATCTTTGACACCTTTGTTACGCTGTTAGGGTCACACAATTCACAGGACGTCTGTTGACAACCGGCGAAGGTTTGAATCTGTTGAGGTTTGGGCTTGGTCTGCCAGCCCGAGGTCACCGCAACCCAGCCGTTGGGCAGTGCTTGCCCCACAGTAAAAATATTTACCCAAGAGTCGAGCAACTGCGATTTTTGACGTTCCTCACCACAAACACTCCTTCTCCTCCATCGAACCCCAGATTCTCCATTTTGTCTGTACATATGAGATAGCGTTTCGGAAGCATCTTTACACGTGTAGTATCTCCGTTAGCTAGTGATCGTTAGTGTCACTAGCTGGTGACTAGTGTCGTTAGTGTCACTAGCTGGTCTTGCATCATGTGAAATTTCATTGTGACCAGATGATGAGTTCAGATTCAACGACGTAAATGTAGACTTCAACTATATCTACATTCAAATAATTAGATCCGTTCATGTGGGTAGTGTTTGAAACAGTGCGGAATAACAACATTTCGGGACATTAGCATAATGACGTTGGAACACAAGTGCCAGGATCATGCTTGCTATAGAGTGTGTGACTGGTATGATCCATAATGCCCCTGTTAATGCTCACACCGGAGGCTCTGTTGATAAATACACGCAAGGAATCCTTATCTCCCTTAATACATTCAACACCTAGAGATATTAATCTATCTATATGTCTGTCTGTCTACCTATCTAACTATCTATCTGTCGTTATTGATACATACGCGAGTTGTATACATCTCTGTTAATATATGCAAGTGAACTATTCGTTAATAAATTCAAGCGAGAAATCCACTTCCGAATTGATAAATAAGCAATACTTTACCTTGCATGTTAGAGGGTAACCTGGGCGTGTGGCCTACAACCGTCAAGACTTGGGGCATTCCCCACACATCAAACGGACACATTGCGATAATACTGAAATACCGTTCTGACCAGATTAGATGTATCAGCTATAGAAAACCAGACTCATCCATCTAGTAACCTCATTTCTCCGTCTTGGTATCTTTTCCCCCTCTCAACAAGCAGTGACCTCGAGAGGCCAAGTGGATCTCATGGGAGTGCATTTAATTCCCTGAATCTCACTGATTGTTGGTTTGTCAGCTTCTGAAAAGTGATAAATGTCTGCATCGTGCATCATTTTGGGCTTTTGTCCCACAATAATGTTCCTCAAAGTCTCCTATACTGACCGGTAGAGTGATGGTGTTTGTCACCGGGTGGCGGGATAGTAGACGAGGAGCGTCTATACTGACCGGAAGAGTGCAGGTGCCTGTCACCAGATGGCGTGATGGTAGACGGCTTCAGTGTTGAGGAGCGCCTATACTGACCGGTAGAGTGCTGGTGTCTGTCACCAGATGGCGTGATGGTAGACGGCTTCAGTGTTGAGGAGCGCCTATACTGACCGGTAGAGTGCTGGTGTCTGTCACCAGATGGCGTGATGGTAGACGGCTTCAGTGTTGAGGAGCGCCTATACTGACCGGTAGAGTGCTGGTGTCTGTCACCAGATGGCGTGATGGTAGACGGCTTCAGTGTTGAGGAGCGCCTATACTGACCGGTAGAGTGCTGGTGCCTGTCACCAGATGGCGTGATGGTAGACGGCTTCAGTGTTGAGGAGCGCCTATACTGACCGGTAGAGTGCTGGTGTCTGTCACCAGATGGCGTGATGGTAGACGGCTTCAGTGTTGAGGAGCGCCTATACTGACCGGTAGAGTGTTGGTGTCTGTCACCAGGTGGCGTGATGGTAGACGGCTTCAGTGTTGAGGAGTGCCTATACTGACCGGTAGAGTGCAGGTGCCTGTCACCAGATGGCGTGATGGTAGACGGCTTCAGTGTTGAGGGTCTATACTGACCGGTAGAGTGCAGGTGTCTGTCACCAGATGGCGTGATGGTAGACGACTTCAGTGTTGAGGGTCTATACTGACCGGTAGAGTGCAGGTGTCCTGTCACCAGATGGCGTGATGGTAGACGGCTTCAGTGTTGAGGGTCTATACTGACCGGTAGAGTGCCGGTGTCTGTCACCAGATGGCGTGATGGTAGACGGCTTCTGTTGAGGGTCTATACCCGGTAGATGGCGTCACCAGATGGCGTGATGGTAGACGGCTTCAGTGTTGAGGGTCTATACTGACCGGTAGAGTGCTGGTGCCTGTCACCAGATGGCGTGATGGTAGACGGCTTCAGTGTTGAGGGTCTATACTGACTGGTAGAGTGCTGGTGCCTGTCACCAGATGGCGTGATGGTGACGGCTTCAGTGTCGAGGAGCGTCTATAATGACCGGTAGAGTGCTGGTGTCTGTCACCAGATGGCGTGATGGTAGACGAGCTTCATGGTAGACGGCTTCAGTGTTGAGGGTCTATAATGACTGGTAGAGTGCTGGTGTCTGTCACCAGATGGCGTCACCAGATGGTGATGGTACGGCTTCAGTGTTGAGGGTCTATACTGACCGGTAGAGTGCTGGTGTCTGTCACCAGATGGCGTGATGGTAGACGGCTTCAGTGTTGAGGGTCTATACTGACTGGTAGAGTGCTGGTGCCTGTCACCAGATGGCGTGATGGACGGCTTCAGACGTCTATTCCAGTGTGCTGGTGAGGCGTGATGGTAGACGCCTTCCAGTGTTGAGGGTCTATACTGACCGGTAGAGTGCTGGTGTCTGTCACCAGATGGCGTGATGGTAGACGGCTTCAGTGTTGAGGAGTGCCTATACTGACCGGTAGAGTGCTGGTGCCTGTCACCAGATGGCGTGATGGTAGACGACTTCAGTGTTGAGGGTCTATACTGACTGGTAGAGTGCTGGTGTCTGTCACCAGATGGCGTAATGGTAGACGGCTTCAGTGTTGAGGAGCGCCTATACTGACCGGTAGAGTGCTGGTGCCTGTCACCAGATGGCGTAATGGTGGACGGCTTCAGTGTTGAGGAGCGCCTACACTAACCTTGAGAAAATATCAGATACGTATGAAGCATGTCAATTTAATTTCTTTATGTTTATAGTGACTGTTGGAGGAAGTCAAAGATAATATGTGACGAATATTAATAGTACCTGCAGTGGTCGACACCGCTTGTTGTTATGCAAGTTTCGGATGACGCTTAGTTTGGATGGATGTATACACAGTGTGTATAAAACCTTGTCTGAAGTAGTGTACCACACACCTACAAATCAAGTGGTACAAATACAGATCTACCGTACGTCCGGTCTTCTACTTTCAGTGTTATTCTCCAGCCTTCATTAAGGTTGAATTTAAATAAAACTGTCCAGTTGTATTTTATGTGGTTTAAGAAGGATCCCCACATCCTTTCCAACGGAGAGACCGGATGTTGCTTCATGACACTTCAGTATGTGGAAGTGATGGCACTGTTGACTCTCTGGACAACACGTGTCTATCTGACGGCTTACACGAAGTAACTGCCGCTGTGACCCAGTGTCAACGCTTGACACCACTCCATTACGTCTGAGTTTACTACTGTCATAACAACAGATCCTTTGTCCATGAGTAATAAAAAAGGTTGCCAGAACAAAAAAAACAAATCTCTTTTCCATAGGACATCGTTTGAAACATAGACCATCAAATATATCATCTCACTGGACAAGTCGGAGACAGGTTTCTCATTCCGTCCTCAATCTGACGTCGTAAACTTGCCAAAAGCCACCACGTGGGGCTTAACTTTTATCAATGTCCGAGGCATTAAGCGATGTCGGGGAGCCTTGGTTTGGTACTAATTTCAGAACCTTCTCGGTGATGACCTGCGTTTTGAA